GATGGCCCTCGGCTTACGACTCTCACAGTCTGGCCCTCGGCTCACACTATCACAGCGATGGCCCTCGGCTTACGACTCTCACAGCGATGGCCCTCGGCTTACGACTCTCACAGTCTGGCCCTCGGCTCACACTATCACAGCGATGGCCCTCGGCTTACGACTCTCACAGTCTGGCCCTCGGCTCACACTATCACAGCGATGGCCCTCGGCTTACGACTCTCACAGCGATGGCCCTCGGCTTACGACTCTCACAGCGATGGCCCTCGGCTTACGACTCTCACAGTCTGGCCCTCGGCTCACAACTCTCACAGTCTGGCATTTTCTTCCCCTCTCCCATCCTCCTTATACTACCCCGAGATACCAACTCCTATACTACAGATGATAACTACTTTTCCTGACTATTCATCCATTCTACCTGCTGAACCACCTTTTCAGCAGTTATCTATCCCTGTTTACACTATACACTAGGTATCTACATTCTGAAAATAACTACTTATTCTACATAACTATTGATTATAAAAATCAAAATTAAGATTGAAAGAATTTAATGTATAAGTTATGTATATGCCAAATATAATTTCTTATGACAAAGTTTATTTTGAAAAATAAAAAATAATTATTAAATAATAACATAAAACATGAATTATCAAAATTATTCTATTAATACATTTAAAAATATTTTAATTAATAATAAGTTAAAATATATTATTTTTATATAGTTTTATATACATATTTTTTTCTTATATTTTTTATATTAGCATTTACTTATATTTTTTGATTGTGTTGCTTCTTTGGACATTGTTGAGCAGTATACTTAGATTCTCCACACTATAAGTACAACCCTTATTGACAATGTCAAATATTTTTTTCTTTAGTGAGATATTTAAAATACGTCATATCAATGTGTATTGGTTCAAATTTTGATGAATAAATTTCTAAAAAAATAGGAATTATTATTATAACTTGACTTGTATCACTCCAACCAAATTTTTGTTCTTGGTGTCTTTCAAAAAGTCAATTATTGTATGCAATGGCTTGAATAATAAATTGTTCCAATAAATTTGCATTTGACATTGTCAATAATAAATCTTTGATAGTATCTTTTAATTTATATTAAAATTCATTCTAATCCATATTTTAAGCAAGGTTTTCAAATTTGACAATATATATAGAGGCTGAATATGATCTTTATTGGAAAAGTAAGAGTTTTGTATATATTAGTATTTTTTTATCACTTTTTTGAAATGTAGTTGCAAGCACTTCTAAGAAATGAGTTCAAATCACAAAAGAATTAAAAAGACTTTTTCCATCAAAGGTGCAAATCAAAAGAGATCACTTTCAAATAGTAATATACCTATGAATCCAATTTGAGTAAATCCATTAGAATATTGGAAAAGATGCAATCTAAGGTCGAGCTTTAGTTATTGTAGGATTCTTCAAAATTTTGATCTTGTTCTACAAACTTCTTTGATATACTTATCTTTACTTCTTTTATAATTGTAGTAGCAAAACTTCTTAGATTGAATTATCATATTGATCTACTTATTTCTTTCAATTATACAACTTCTTGGTATAGACTTTGAACTTCATTGTTAATTTCTTCTATAAGTATAAGAATAATACCTCAATAGTTGATGTTGGTAATATATGAAATTTCCACCTTGAGAATGTTAACAAGTTTGTGAAGATTTATAATAGTTACAAATCTATTCTCACTTTTATCAAGTATATCATAAATATTTTTTCCTTCCATCTTTATAATAGATAACTTTAATAAATCCACAAGTCAAATTAGATGAAGATATTTTGCAACTTCTATTACCAAATAAAAATTTCCCCAAAGAAGAATAGTCTATTTTTTCTAAAGAAAAAATCAATCTTAAAAGACAAAAAATATTGGTTTAAAGATAGGTAGTTTATAATCTTTAAAGCACAACAAAAGAAGTGAAGTAATTTAATCACTTTTAAAACAAAACAAAAATTATAAATTAGCACTTTTATCAAATTGTCAAGAATATGAATTTCAAACAATAAAAACTTCAATACATTGTTGTATCATTCAAAAAAAATAAAAATTCACTGAAAGATAGTAATAAATTAAGACCATAATGGCTATTGCAAAAGATAAGAAGACTACTAATTCTTAAAACAAGATTAGGAATAAGAAAGGCTTTGACAAGAGTGAGAAAGGTTTTAGTCTTGCTTCTGTGTATATTATTTAATTAAGAATTATATGGTGATGTTCTATAAGACCTCCAATATATATCAAACTTGCACAACATATTTCTAACTTGTAAGGCAAGTTTCTTCCATGTGTGCCACATGGCCAACTTGTATCACAAGTTGCTAATATGTATAGTATGTGGCTAACTTGCTGGTCAAGTTTCTAACCTATCAATCAACTATAAACACATATGAAATCAAAGCCATGTCAATAAGACTTTTAAGATATTTTTTTATAAGATATTGTCAAATCTACCTTCATTTATTTTCTACTTAACACTTCTTATCTAAATAATTATGTATTATGTATGTCAGTGATACCATCATGAAAAACAATTCTATTAATAGATTTATATTGGTTGGAAGTCAATGAAAAAATGGTTGGATCTGTAACCAATGATGATAGGTGGATAAATTTAGTAAATACTTGGATCAATTTAATAATTCTTAAAATATACTAATAATAATATAATAAGTTATTACAAATAGATTAGAATTATTTTGAAAATAAAGTATGATTTATATTGACCATAAACACAAATGTGAATATTATTTTAACATATATATATATATATATATATATATATTTAAAAATTGTAATGAAACTAATAATATATTATTGCATATTACTAAGAATGATGGTGATAATAATAATAATAATAAGAAGAAGAAGAAGAATAACATCACAAAATCATCACATATTTAAGCTTTAAAATTTTATAATTATTTATTTTATAATCATAATAAAGTGTGATTTTAATTTATTAATTTTTTTCAATAATTTTTTTAAAATTAATAAGTAGAAACATAAAAATATATGAAAAGATGATTATTATATTTAAAAGTATAAATTTTAAAAATTAAATTTGTTATTATAAGTCTATAATATATTGATAAATATCAACTTAACAACTAGAATCACCAAAACATATTATAATGCAATCATCACAATTCAAAAATCATAATTTAGAAGTTGACTTTGTTAATATAAGATTATATTGAATTGATAGATATAATTTTGCAAATTCTAAACATCTATATAATAAGAAAGCTTAGGCATGAAACAAAGAGACAAAAAAAACTTTTTCATTAATAAAAAAATTTCTTATCATTAACCAACAAGTAGCCCTGTATAATTTGTAGAAAGACCTCTAATTTAGACAAAGACCTCCTTGTGCACAAAAACCATGCACAATGGCATGGCAAAGATTTCGGCTAGTATATATATATATATATATAAACCTATTTTCTACCAAACTAAATTTCATCTTTTTTAATCCAAGAAGAATTTATCACACATAGTTTTTTCAACTTGATATGCATATACGACACAACATTAAATTAAACTTTAGATTTTCTTTGTCTACATCATAAATTTTAAAATGATATCTATCAATGCAATGTAATCTACATAAAATTGAGCTCATCCTACACCAATGCTTCTTTGCCAAACAATGCCAACCCTTGATGTTATACGCCAATAAGAAAAAAAAAGTTCTGTTGCCATACTTTAACGGAATGAGGAATAATAAGTGCAACCACATACCTGCACATACATCACATGAATGCAATAACGACACCAACGACCTTGCAAAAATACTATAGATAGGAGAAAAACAAGAACAACCACTAATTGGATGTCTTTCAACTCTGGAGCTCTTTTTAGGTATGCAAGAAAAAATGAAGAAGAGATTGGAGGACTGCAACTTGGATCCAAAATTATGCAAATCCTTGTGCACCCCCTAGAAAACCCAATTGACATCCATCTGGTCGGTAAAGAAAAAAAAATATTGTTTTTTTCTTTTTTCTTTTTTCTTTTCACTTTTGCTTATATTCTCTCCACTTTTTTTCTTCTTCTCTCTCTCTTTATATATATATATATATATATATAATCTTTTGAATTGACGACATTAGGTTTCTATTTAGCTCTTAATTTAATTAACTTTTAATAGAAAAATTCAACCACAAAAACATCATAGAACTATATTAACTAAATTGAAGAGAAAATATTCATTTAAAAATGCTTTCTCAAAAAATCCTACTAAGAACCTAGTCTTGTATTAAAATCCTATTTTTGCTATTTATTTCAAAATTCCTACATTAATTCACTAGTACATTGGCAATTTTAAGAACCATAATCACAATTTTTGTACAAACCACAGAAATAAGTTAATTATGTGACTCACACTACATATATTACCATTGCTATACATAGAAAAAATGACTATGGATAAGATAGTACATCATGTATTTCTAGTCTCATTCAATATATCTTTTTTTGATGTCTTCTACTACCATGAAGCAATCCTCAGATTGCAACAGTGATTATGGCTCCTCCACGTGTGGACATGTAGCACGAGCCATAGCACATAATCCAACTTACTACTATTGCAGACACTGATCAAACATCGATTACAACAAAGAAAATAATCGTTAGTCATTACAAAAAAGAGAATAATCGTCAGTCATTACAACAAAGAAAATAATCGTCAGTCATGGCATCACGTCTGCGTCAACCCATAAGATAATAATTCGTGCAGCCTTTGCTATGGTCATGTATACCCAAACTACACGACAAGCGTTGACAAATCCAATTGAAAACAGTTTCGCTGTGCCACCAACCGGGCAAGAAATAGAGAGATCGGATTTTTTTATTTTATTGACACAAATGGAAGATCCTTTTTGTATTGCTGCCATATTCAATCAGGTGCGGCGTCAAGACGATTCTTATCCGAATAAGGGAATAATGAATATAAATCGCCCAATGTGCCATACAGTAACTTACCACCAATATTAGATCATGCCATGGTCGAAATGTCTCTACATAAGCCCATGACAACACGCAAGATTATCATTCTGAATCTTGGTCAGACTCATCGATAGAGGCGTGATTAGCATTCTCAGATTCATCGACAGAGGCTTGATTTGCAGTGTGTGTACTGCTGATCAGATTCATCGATAGCGACGTGAGTTTTATGGTGAAGATGGCTTTGGCGATGGTTGAATTGGCGCTGTTGCTAAGTCTGATGCTCGTGATGCCAATCGCAAGCGCGGCAGGCAACGGATTCAAGTGCCCCAAAGCGTTCTGGACGTTCGGCGACTCGCTCTCAGACACTGGGAATTCTCAGACGACTTTTCCAAGCGCCAGCCGCCTGTACCCGCCCTACAGCACCAGCTTCACCTTCCGTGACAAGCCCGGGTTCAATCGCTTCTCCGATGGCCGCCTCATCGTCGACTTCATATGTAAGACGTGATGATCTCTTGAATTCAGAACCAATGATTTTTAGAACGTGATCGTCTGTTGGACCTGATTTGATCGAATCATGGTTTTTTGTTTTGTTTTGTTTTTCTCTTTTTTTTTCTTTTTTTTTTTTGGTTGCAGCGCTAGCGTTTGGGCATCCATATTATGGGACGTATGCGCACGCTCTGAACGGGGCGAATTACGTGCGCGGCGCCAACTTTGCGTATGCTGGCGCGACTGCGAACGCCACCACGTTCGTGACGCCGATCCACCTCAACCTGCAGGTTGATAATTTCCTCAATTTTAAGAGCAAGGCGCTCGACACAGGGTTCTATTTCCCAGACCGTAAGCATTGGACAACCATCTCCATTCACAAGGACTAATATTCATCGCTGGCAGGTTTATGCTTGAATTTGAAGTTGAAAATGGGTTTGAAATACTCTACATTTTCATGTTTAGAGACTCCCAATGTTTACAAGAAACTGTCAAAATAATGAATAACTATCATGGAATCAATGGAGTAATGTTTTTGAAGCATTTATTCATGGAAGGCTCTTTCCCAAAAATTGGCGATTTTCTTACAGCCAAATGAGCTCTCTTTGACAGATTTGTGATGTTCTCTATACTCATGTGATAAATCTATGCTGCATCTACAGAATGGAGCCTACTGTTAGAATACAGAAAGGGTGTCGAGGAACTTGAATTGCACTTAGAAAATGCCTCTGGTACCGAAAAATCTAGACTGATTTGGATGGGATTTATATGTGCAGCGAAAGGTCCGTATCAACCAGTGTGGAATGCGTTCAGCGACGGCGCGTACTACATTCCTGAAATCGGAGGCATCGACCTGATCGTTGCCACAAGTGTGCTGAACCTGCCGTCGCCGGTCGTCATCGCCTCGTTCGTTCCAGCCGCTGTTGCTGCAGTCAAGACGGCCATCACCGTAAGTCAAATCCTATCTCCTGTGTCTGTTCGAGATTATATTTGACATTTGCGTTGTGGATGTAATTAGTGACCTGCTTTTTCAGACGCTTCATGATTCCGGTGCGCGGCTCTTCTTCATCGGCAACACGCCGCCGCAAGGGTGCAACCCGGCGCAGCTGACGCAGTTTTTCAACCGGACCAAGGACGCGCTCCTGTGCGTGGATGACATCAACGCCATCAACCGCGCTTACGGCGCCGCTTTGCAGCAGGCGCTCGAGGACCTGCGGACGAGCCTCGGTGGCGATGGCACGCAGATCTTCCTCATGGATAACTATAATGCCAGCATTGAGATCTTCACCAACCCAGCGACTTATGGTAAGTTTTATCCAACACTCTCACAAATCAAATTATCCACAGGCAGTTTCATAATGATATATTTTTGGCAGGGTTTACCAACACTCAGCAGGCGTGTTGTGGCTCCGGAGGACCCTACAACTACAACTCGGCCTTCACGTGCGGCAACATCGGGTCATGCTGCCAGGGGCAGTCGGCGTGCGCGACGCCCGGGAGCTACGTTTCCTGGGATGGGATTCATTACACTGAAGCATTCTACAGGCAGATCGCCAAGTTCTTCCTCAATGGCCAGTTTGTCACTCCGGCTTTGAATCTTGCCGCGGAGTGTGGCCTAAAATTTGATGATTTTTATAAAAAAAGCTGATCGAGTTGGCTAACATTATGGTTTTCAGTAATTGTCAATAGAGGCAGCCTTCACGGGTTTATGGATGACTAGGTATCAACTGAGTATTGCGTAGATATTAGTCAAGTGGACTTCTACTAAACCACCGCGGCCACCGCTTGTTATTGCCGCTTCAAATCTAAATGCAAAAGGTCACATTACTTCATCAGATATTTCAACCCTTACATTGAAGCTCCAAATTACCGAGGTGTGTTTAGATCGAAAAATGTAGCACGGAGAACGTCTCTGGCACTAAGGGCTGTCTCTTTGTGTTATACTCAAGCTCTCTGCTCTGCAACATGAAACATGACACCAATAACCGCCTTACTAGCAGTCGCAAGCAATCGTACATCAAACTCTTCCCCAGGGTAACGGAAGCAACGCTGGAAACTGAGAGCTGATTTCGGATGGATTCGATCACAGTAAGTGGACACTTCAGAAAAATTCCTGAATCCTAAACGAAAGGAAGGAGTTCCAGCACTTCGGAGTAACAATGAAGTTCTCAACTTCATTGTCATTTGTCGCTATATCGCAGATGGAAACCTATGAATCATTATAAAACTCACCACCACTACGACAGCTATTCCAACCCATTCCACTACGACATGCTCACCTCACACTATCATAGCCCAGTCTCTATGATAACGATTGCAAATGCTTTCCTCTCTTTCACATATTCGACCTCAAACCCCACACCCTCTTTTCCCATCTCTAACAAACAAAACAAGAATAAATTACAATGGCCAAAAATTAGAATACTTCTATCAAAAATGTACTACATCAAACTACATATTACTCGTCTATGTACAAACTTGACCTATTAATTATGTGCATGACACTACATGTCATGACATAAGATGTCTCCAATAGGTGCAATTAATTCATTATCCAACATAGTCCTTTGACGTCCGAAGTTGAAATGATGACCTTACATAAGCACAATACTAGGGACGGTGTTTCGTATGTTTTAGTGTCGACGGTTGGTCGATCACTCTAGTTCCTATAACTTGCGAGTGGCTTAGGCTACCTAATCCTGACAGGATATCGTCCAAAGTTGACCCAATTGCGATGTTTGGTACACCTGACGCCTCTCCTGCAACCTGTGTAAGAAGAAATATCGAAGTAAATATGTGGCAGTGTGCCCAGATACGCCTACTATGGTAACTAAGAGTTAATTAAAACTAATTTATATTCCAATAGTTGAGATCAAAGCACTTCTTTACAATTCGGCTATCTTCCTCTTAGTACCTACAAAAGGTCAAAGCATTACGATACATTCATTACACATTACCAAAATCAAGAAAAACAAATGGTAATGCACTCACCGTTGCAAGGAGAATAGCAAACTTTAATGGGAAAATATGCAACCCACCTTTTGTTTCTTGTTAGGAGGAGGATGTGTAGGTGGCCTCTGAACTGCATCATTTTTCCAAGCCTGTGTAGTCTGTGCATGAAAATCATGTTTGTCAATCTGGTGGCTCCGCATACTCGAATCGGGTTTCTCTGCATGTCTTGGACGTGTAATTGAATTAGGCTTCCCAGTTTGTCTATTCTATAAGACTACTTCAGATCTTTGAACTTGTTTCGTCCGTGAATCTAAATCAGAACGAGCAGTTCGGTTGGTCCGTCTGTCTGGACCAGGGTTTGGAATTTGATCAATACGCTTGTCTCGAATGGAGTTTCCAGACTGCTTTTCCTCTCGCAGTCTTCTCATAAAAAGTTCCCACTCACTCTCTACCACAGAAGATGTTGTGAGTGGAGAATTTGTACTGCCATGTCCGGACGGAGATCTCCGACCCTCTTCATGAATAGCGGATGCACTTGTGCAGGAATCGAACCTAGTATCCGTACATGGCTCAGAACTTAACAAGCTTGCATCCGAATATGCAACAGCATGCGACATACTGCCACGATCGCAGGAGCTCGATCGATTCCGATCAAATCTGTCTACGTTGTTATTCTAGAACTCGCTCTCGACAAGCGCATAGAGTCTCGATTAACATCTACAGTAGGAACAGCGCTGTTCATAGCCCGACTCGAACCAGTCCGAATTTCCTTAGAGGAAGATCTTTTGATCTTATCCAGACCAAGACTAATGTCGTTCGAAAGCTCAAAATCATGACCCGGACCACCTTCACTAATGATTGCTTGAGCATTCTCGGAGTTTCTTCTCTCATTACCATTAGTCTCAATTTTGGCGCTATCTCTTCTAGAACCTACCTCCTTTCTGCTCCGGGAGCTGGAATCCTGAATGCCACTAACATCAACCCAAGATCTTCCCCCTCTTCCTAAGTGGGTGTCGATTGTGAAAGCTCTTAGGCTATCTGAGTGCTGATCCTTATCGTTTTTGTTCCCTAACGCACTAGTCCTTGACTGTTTGTTACATTCATCTCTGACAAATGAATCAAGTCGCAGTATTAAAGGTTCGCCCTCTGTAGTAGTCTGTGTCTGTTTCCCAGCACTTGGATGCAGTTGTTTAGAGTGACTCCCCACGGTTTGAGCCCCACTGCTGCTTTCGTTTTCCTGCGGTGTGTGCTCAATTCGTCCTGGTTGAATGTCTGGTTTCAAGGAATCGATGACTTCACCCCTGTTTGATTTCACCTTTCTACCATCTGCCCTTGCCGTCGAGTTTTGAACTACATGGCTTAATTCAGATGACACGGTAATCCCGGTAGATGCTTCGCTGCTTGTTAGATTATGCATTGACGACCCTGGAGGTGGACTTACTGGTCTCAGTGGCTTAGAGTTTACCCCTACTTGGAAAGAATACGGGTACTTTATAGGGAAATATGACTGCCTCATTTTCGCATCTGAAAGCAACGCACCCCAATCGGAATTTTGTTGCATCGCAGAAGCATTTCCAACGATCCACAGAGAGAACCTTGCACGAGTGAGTGCAACATTCATTCGACGAATATCTGCTACAAACCCAATCCCTGGTTTGTCCGATGCACGGACAGTGGAGAAAATGAGAATATCCACCTCACGTCCCTGATAACCATCCACAGTGTTGAATTCGATGTTCAAGGCTTTCGCTGAACCTAAAGATCGACTGCAACGTTGCTGAGTGACGTTCAGCTGCTGTTTATACGGGGTAATAACCAAAAAACTTCTTGAATTTGCTTCTTTTGGATACCTGAGCAATCGAAAAACAAAAATTTAGTTAAATGTGATTTAATTAAAGTTAAACTAAAGCTACTACAAAATTATGGCTGAATCCCTCAAATCAGGTCCCAAATGTATGGGCGGAGGTTTTCTACTCTTGATCACACGCATTGTTCAGAAAATCGCCACAAATACCTAAAATCATAGAAATACACTATTAAGAGGATGCAATCAACATGCCTAAATTTTTACAAATCATGATTACAGATCCACGAGTATAAAAACGCGATGACAATATTACGAAGTTGTTTTCTTTTCTGTTCTTCTATGATGTTTAATTGTATTTCGAAAAGTACAAAAAGAATACAAAAAACAAACGCGAAAATAAAAACAAGAGAGAGGAAAGAATCACCTTTGCAGCAAAAATCGATAAATACTTAGAGCAGCATCAGCTTCAGCGTCATTTTATAAAGGAATCGGAATTTGAAATGGTATCTATCAATGCAATGTAATCTTACATCAACAAAGTCAACTTCTCAGTTATAATTCATGAGTAGTGTGGTTCAGCGAAACCCTACACTTTGTTGAAGCTCTCTCTCTCTCTCTCTCATCCCTCGCATTTGGTAAATTACTGTAAGGACAGAGAGGTTCTACACTTATGCAGCACTTTTGCAATGGGCTGATGGTAATATGCAAACTAGGGCACGCTTTGCTCATTCTTCCACGTAAAGAGTTGCGTGGTGCGCAGAATCTCGCGGTGCAGCGCCATCATTTCTCATTCAAATGTGATCAATTTGGCGCTGGGAACTCCTTTCCCTGCCTTGGCAACATGGCGCCTCACTAGTTTCTCCAAGGTCTAGGGTCTGTTGTAGAGCATCCGAAATCATCTCCTCCCCGCATTCCATCGCCACATCATCCTGCTCCACTTTCGCGCGCCCTATCTATGTTTTGTCCATATAACCCTAATTTCTCGGTTCTCCAGCGCGAATGCTCCCAAAGCTCATTGTCGTGCAGTATAGTCCCCTTAATACCTCCACCCTGAACAATATCTCGGCTATCCTCACACCCTAACCAACGCGCTTAAGTCACCAGCGATAACATGTGAATATTATCAATCAAACTCGCCGATCACATGTGAACATCGAAGACCCAACTCAGTCCAATAAGGTTTCGTGCAAGGTAGATCAAATCACCACCCACCACATCGGACACGCCCCTCAAACACCCTCACTCCAGAGGAATGGTATAGCGATTGTCACCTAGCAACTGTGTTCATAGAAGGCCCCTGTAACTTCAAATTTCGCGGGAATTTGTAAATACTGCGACATCGACAAATTCTATGATACACAAAGTATGTCCCAGGTGTGGCTTGAATCCTAGAGTTCAGGTTTGAAGTCTTTGACCTCTCGACACTCAGTCTCTCGTCCTCACATCATTGACTAAACGCTCGAATCATGAAAACGACACTGTTGAGCCCCTGATCCAGAGAGAGAGGAGGGTCCAAGTTGGGCAGTTCAAGAGGGAAATTAATAATTGTCGTTAGATGATGGAGTTAAAAACGCTTAATTAGGCTAAAAGAAGCTAGTTACGGGCATTCCGTGATAGTCGAAACAACGATTCTGCCTCTCGAAGATTGATGATTGTGTCGCAGAGCCACCATCAGATCCATCCCGCCTTTCATTTTCCTGAGAACAACCCTAGTGAAATTCTCTGTGTGAATTTCCAGCGAATTATCGCAGAGGATCGCGTGTGGACGTACAAACGAATCATGTGTAGACAGCGGGAGGTCATTGCCAAGTCATGCTGATGATTATGACGCAAAAGCCGCTGACTCACGAAAAGCAGTTTCACCATGAGTCTACTGTGGCATTCAAGAAGCGACGCTTGCGAGATGCTGTCGACGACGCAAGTTTGGGCAGCGAACTTTCTAATGCTACTTCCTCTGGCCATTTACGTGGGGAAAAGGTCAATAAACAGCATGCGGCGGGCTCTTCTGACGAAAGCTTCTCGAAGAAAGTTCAGCGAGATTTTGAAAGAGGTTGTCATTTTGCAGTTTTGTCCTGTGAATGATCATCCCAAATTTTCAGTCGTCGGGCAATGTCCTGTCCTTCATGGATAGCAGGCAATTCAAATTTCTTTTTTTGGTATCTTAGTTGAAAGCTACCGATATTATCACCCAGGTCTTCGGCGGAATCTCATTTCACATGCTTGCATTTCTCCCGTTTTCTGGACATCCTTGAATGTACAGCTCCAATCCTTGCGTCTCGCAACAGACTCCACTTAGTGATGATGCAGAAATCATTCTGAGTAGGAGGACCTTGACCATGTTGCCCTTGCTTTCTCTACTTCCGCGCACCCTGCCTCTCATTTACTGCTTACGTCTGTGGATTCGATGTGCATGGTGTAGTTCAAGTCCTACTCGAGTGTGAGCATTCGGTTGCTCCATGTGTTTATATCAATTCGGATGTGAAGTTTCTAATGCTCCGCCGGAGTTCCAGTATTCTGCGAGTTCAGGCGAAGTCAAGCAGAGCTTGAATTCTTGCGAACACGGAGAGGGGGTTTAAGGGCAGATAATCCTTGCGTCTTTGCCAGTTTGGAGGTCAGATGTACCAGAAAGTGTTTGCGGAGTTCATCGATGGCGATGAATCACAGCGCTATAGGGGTGGTTTCGCTGCTGCTGATGATGATTTTGACGCCATGGCAACAATCTACGTGCGGTGTCGCTGGCGTGAATTCATCGTATGTCGAAACGGACGACATGAGTACTACAAACTCTTCCTCTCGCATGTTAGCAGCACTGAATTATCCTAACATCCAAATTGGTCCTTACACTTGGCGCTACTTTCGAAGTAAGGATGTTCCCCGCTGCCTTACCAACCGAACTCGCACACTCAAATTTTTTCATCGCATTCCTTGTTGTAGAAGTCAAATGTTTACAGAACACACTTGCAAAGTACTCTAATCTGTGAACCTTTTCGATTCTCTGCAGTCGAGGTACCTCGCGCGTTTGCGGAACTCAATGTATTGTTGACAAGGAAATGGACGGGGGTGCGCATTCATCACCGAAAAAATTACTACCTGTTTGATCCCAGCAGATGTTTTTAGAGTAAATTTGGTTGGGTTTGTCGTTCCACACTGATTTCTATTTGCTGATTTGGTTCCTACAGGAGCAAGGCGGAAAACAGAAAGCTAAGGTGCCGATGGTTTGTTTTCGCGTCGGATCACCGCCTCTTCCAGACCTCTTATGTGAGAAAGGCCCTCCACCTACGCGTGCAGAGTTTTCAAATCTTCCTCTCGTTGACGCTCAATGCAAACCAATTGACTTCTTAATTTGCATCCCTCAAGTACTTGACTTGATGTAACCTCGAATCTGTTGTTACTTCAGTGGAGTCTCCGCAAGCAGCAGCTATGGCTGCAGCAAAGGCTGGCAATTCGTCGAGGACGGGGTGTTGCGCATGGTTTCTTACCAACTCTTCCATTTCGTTGACCAACATGCAGGTGAGTGAATTTTTGTTATGTTTATCCCGACTTCTAAAGAGATTTTCGAATCAGAATGGCCACAGAAAATTATCGAAGCAGGGTTTTCTTCAGACGCTGCAGGCTGCGCTATCCGGTGGGGCAAAAGGCTCTGACAAAAGCTTGTTTGTACAGATTCCTGCAGGATTGTGGTATGTGGGCGTGTTTAGCGACCCAGAACCCGGGCGATTTCAAGCCAAAATGGTACTCTCAATCAGAAGAAACTTATCTATGTGACTATACTGCCATTTTTTTAATATATCGGTGTGTGTGTTAAGAGATTTCTCTTCGTGGTCGATTCTATTGTTTGACAGATCACGCGGGGCAGTACTTTCACCTTCGGAGTCCATTTCACAGTGTCGGGATGCAAGACACCCAATCTCAGGGGACGCGATTGCGACGTCGCCGTCAAGTCACTGTACTTCGAAACTCCACCAATTTCGAGTATCGAATCTGGATGGAGCCAGAAACGTTTGCACAATCAGGAGACCATTCTCACAAAGACGGGAACAAATCTCGATGTAAACGTGAAGACTATGCCGGACTTGATCCATCAGTCTAACGGAGTTGGTGACAAAGAAGAAAATGCTTGGACGTCGTTGACATCACAGCGTGTTGATGTAGGAGCATGGAAGTACTTCGCTCTGGAAGTTGACGATTTTGCCTTGAGTTTGCAGATTCGTGCGGTGTGCATGTCACCGAATTGTGGCGCAGGTATTGGAACCAGTTTGTACCTCAGTCACGGCGCTTTGCCAGACGATGGGGACAATGGGACTGTCATGGACTCACCTCCCATCACAGTTTCGGCGCCCAGACGTGGCCTATGGTACGTTGGCGTGCGTAACCCCACCACAACCTCGCCACTGGACTTCGATTTGCACTGGCGCGTCGAAAGCTGCGCTGTGTCAACAATATCCATGGAGAGAGTGTTGGTTGATGAATGGGGCGAGTCGCCGTTCAATTCGTACTACGGACCTGCGGGGGGAGATAGCCTGATTCATTCGCCATGGTTTTCCTTGTCCGAAGTGGCGCCAGTTGGAACCACTAGCCCGAAGAATTGGACATTCTTCTTCATGGAGGTGCCGCGAGGCGCCTCAGGCGCAGTTCTCTCTGTGAAACTCCGACATGGGGTGCATGCAACAAGCACCGTCTATGCTCGGTGGGAAGGTCTTGCGACGCTTGACAACTGGGATGTCAAAGTTGTCAACTCGGAGGAGAAAGGTGACGTTGATGAGTTGTCGCTAGATCTTGTCTACCCTGCGGAAGGAATCTGGTGTATTGGAGTTCATTATGTGAAAGAATTTGAGCCTGTACATGAGACAAGTGCAGATTTCACCCAAAGATCTTCAAGGTTCTTCTTGATATGGAAGAACACCACAAAATCTATTGCGCATTGGTATGAGAATGTCGTGGAGTGCCTAGGAGCTGCAAAGAGGTCACTCTGGAGGATCATTGGTCACAATAAGGTCTCCGAGAAGTTTTTGTTTGCGTCAGCGGAGGCCGACATGATACGCCCCAGTGGACCAGCTCCAGCAACCCAACCATCCACGGAACTTTCCAGTGAGAGACAGGACGCGGAGGCGCAAATGCACATCAGCGTTCACGGTTGTCTGAATCATTGTTCGGGACGAGGGCGGTGCGTCACAGGCTACGAGTCGAGCCGATTGCACTTCTACAGGTTCCCTCTCCAGCCAGCCAATGTAACTTAAAATTTAGCTTGTGCAGCTTGCATCTCTCCAATTCAGCTCACACGACTCCATTTTTCCATGATTATCCAGCTACTGCCATTGCGATGCAGCGCACGGCGGCATTGATTGCAGCGTGCCGCTGCTAGTTCCCACAGACGAGACTGTACAGATATGGACGCTGGTAGGATCGAATTTCGCCGCTTTGCTTCCTAGTTACTGGGCTATGCAGCATCAAGGGTACTCAGAGTGGATGGCGTTTACGGCGAGCGGTGCGGCAAGTGGCTTCTACCATTCTTGCGACGCTGGCGGGTGGTGCGCTCTCAAATATGATACCCTTCAGGTGGACAAATTGCTCTACATAAATAATGCTCATAGGAATTTCCGGTGCAACATAACGATTATGTTAGAGTTGGACTTTGCTTGGGTTTTTGCGAGCCTAACTCGCGACTCAAATCTTAACAACCTTTTGGGTTTGGCTACTCAGTTTCTGGATTTTTGGCTTGCCTTTCTGGTTGTGATCGTGACGTGCGTGGAAGTTGCATCGCTCAAGCAAAACGTGAAAGCTGTTGCGCACGTTGGATTCGCAATCGTCACTGCTGCCATCACCAAGGAAGACGCCACTAGGTGAGGCAGCACTCAAATCTTCTCAGGCTGATCTTCTCAATTCAGAGGTCCTTTTTATGGGTTCGTTGTTCTGTGGAAAACTGTCAGCCATGGTAGATTCAACCTTTAGTGTTAATGTGGAATTTGCTTGGGAAATGCAGCGCCTGGAATGTGTTACTGGTGGCGATCATGGGCCTGGCAGGATTGCTGTTTGGCTGGGCTTTGGAATGCTGGCGACTCGAGTTGATTCCAACTTGGTTTCGTGCAATTCGTGCAATTGACTCCATTAGACCAGTCATAAGGTCATTCACCCAATTCACATGCTTTCGTCTCCTCCTCTAATTCACGGCTGCAATTATCGTCAATCACTAAATCCCAAGCTATTGATCAATGGACAGTTAGGTTTGGTCGACAACCATAGGGTTCCGTGACTCTTACCCTTTGTTCTTTTGAGCAGATTAGAAAGTATTCATCGTTTCGGTGAGCAGCTCCTGCATCAGTTAAAAGGGCGTTTCAGGTGGGGCTACTTAATAGCAGGGCTTGGCATCTTATGCACCGCAGGGTTAAGTTGGGTCCTAGAGGCAGCTGAGACATACTGGATATGGCACAGGTGCCATTCTACACTCTTCAACTAAACATGCTTAAGCGCAATGATCCGTCTTTAGATGATTTCAACAGCCGTAGGTAATCTATTCAGCGCCAATGAGTTCCTCTATCCCGCGAAAGCGCTCAACCTGTCACCGAATAACTGGTTGTGTGCATGCATGCAGCCTTTGGCATGTGAGTATCTACACATCAGCATTTTTAATACTCTGCTCAACTGCAACGTCGGCTTGGCCACCTGAACGGAGAACACTGTCGCCACAAGCATCAACTGATGCGGAGGCTGTACCCATGCTCAGACACACCGTTGAATTGGATGCCTTCGCTGGCGAGAGAGGAAGGAGAGATGACTGAATAGTCTTCAACACTTTCTGTTCTGAAAGATTGCGAAGTGGTTGAGATCGAGGTATCATCGCTCTGACTATTACACCCTTTCGATGTTTTCCAGTGACTGAGCCCAGCCAGAACGTTCAAGCTTCTTCGTGTCCTTTCTGAGTACTTACATCGATAAATGCAAAGTAATAGGTCGAAAACCGGAGTTATCATTGGAGCTATCGCCGCATGGGTGTCCTGCGATACTGATCTCATCTTTCACTGTGGGATTCCATAGCTTGCACAACCCTGTAACTTTGCAGCATCTCCAGTGACCACACTTCAATTGCTCCTGATGTGTAGATTCCACACACACACACACACACAATACAAGCATTGTGGGTCCATGAATCCATCTCGTCGAACCTGTTTTGAAACTTTTCTCGAGATCATAGCCCTGAAACTAGATCACGCTGGCCAGCTTCACTGCAGATTTCGTCATACTCTGCAGTGCTTGATCACTTCAGTGCAGTTGGGTTTAATTGTTGTATCAAAGTGTAGTTGGATTTAGGGGCAGCATAAATGCATTTCAAATTATTTATATATTTTTTATTTTTTATTTATTTATTTATTTATTTATTTATTTATTTATTTATTTATGTCTCCATCCATTGCCTCTTAATCTTGAGGGTGTTTTGAAAATGTTTTTTGATACCGTAAAATATGTTACGATTTAGAAAACTTGTATTTTTTGGATTTAATTAAATGTTATTCATTGTTAATGTTGAATAGTTAATAAGAAGTTCTTGTCTTGGGTTTGTTTTATAATTTTGAGCACCTAAACATTTTTTAAAGAAACATTAAATATGTTTTACAATAAATCTTAACATTTAGTTTTCTAAATTTATGTTGCAATTTTTTTTGTAACTACAAATTATCCATGGAATGTGTAATCATTATAGAGATTTAATCGTAAAGGAAATAAAATAAATAAACAAATACTTTGAAAACCTTAGTGTACTTTTTAAAAAAAAGTTATTGCAGTACAAATCATTCATTTTTTACAAGAAATGAAAGTAAATGAATATGATGAATTAAAAACCTAGAGAATTTAGTCTTTGTCACACAAATTCACCATCAACTTTTACAATAACAAACATATATATATATATATTTGCATACGGATTTATTTAATAAGTTCCTGATTATGTTCTCTCTTTGTGTTTGTGTGTGTATCTCTCTCTTTGTATATACACCTGTACAACAAAAACTTTACTATAAAAAGGCTAAATGCTAAGGAGTAAGCATATGTGGAAACTTGTAAAATAAAAAGGAGTCAAAATGCATCTGCAGTAATTACAAACATGTACAATTATTCTTTGTTAGTTGTGGTAATTGCGTATAATTTGCACAGTCAGATTTACTGTAATTTTCCCTCAAACGCATGCATGTAACACACATGAAGGTGAACGAGGAATTGCTCTTAAAAAAACACAAGAACTTTCATCAAATCAAGCCAAGTTATATATACCTGTTACACCACAGCTTTAGTATGATATATCATCTACAAATCTAACAAGCTAGTCAAATAAAGACATTACTTGAAATAGTGAAACCCATTGACTGAATCCTTATTCGGGCAAGCTTCTGGAACCATGAGCCCATACCCTTCATCTACGAAAACCGGGTTTGCAGTGGGTGTATACAGGGTTTAAATCTGATCATCGCGGGTATGAGAAAGATATCAATCGGCACTCCTTGAATCGGTCACCAAATGTGGAGGATAGTGTGGCGAGGCAGATTCAATGTAGCGTTGTTGTTGTGTTTTTTGGTGAAGGGGAGGGCGTTTTGAAGGCAAGCGAGGGATTGGATTGTTGTGGGATCGACCACAATGGCCACCACGGGGAAGTACTTGGCGACGCAGGAGGAGATGGTGGAGGCTCGCTTGCCATTGGGTTCCCGGGATATGTGCTCCAAGCTCCTCATCCCTCTGAACAAGTGCCGCCAGGAGACTTTCTACTTGCCCTGGAAGTGCGAGGACGAGAGGCACGGCTACGAGAAGTGTGAGTATGATATCTTCCTGCAACGCATGAAGAAGATGCAGGAGATGCGACTAGGGCAGGCGCAGGCGATCCCTGCCCCACAGTAGATTGATTGCCCAGCGCTTTAGTGCCATGGTTTCGGTTAGTGTGCTTGACACCGCATTTTGCTTGAGATTTGAAAAAAAAATTAGATTCTTGGGAAAATTGGGTGTCGTGGATCACTCTGTCTGGAGGTTTGAAGGCTTTCCTTTCTACTTGTGAGGCAGGGGATTGCCTTCGTGAGGAGATTAATTAGGGGAACATTTTAGGTCAAGAATGGGGTCTCTCGTCGATAAGAGCTGATTTCGTATGGGTTTTATTGACACGGTAAATGTGCCTCTCTATTCAGGTTCTGAAATCTTGCATCCCAAGTGGTTTTTCTTGAAATGTTGATTTGTAAGTTTGTAATTGAGGGTGATGAATTTTGATCGGGTTCGTGACATAGTGGAGGCAATGTTCACCCCTTTCGTTTAGCGTCCTAACATTTGGTTGCTGAGGTCTATTTGGACTTTTCTTTTTGTCGGTTTTGCAGTTATTACATTCCCAAACTGGAATTTCGTGAAATTGAAACAGAAACAGCTTTTTCTGTAGAAAGACAGACCAAAAATAAATGAATAAACAAACAAAAGAGAAGTAAACATTTTCTCGAGCTTTAGCGCAGCAGCCAGTTATAGGTGTTGCTGTGTAGAGAGTGGAGCCACACGATCTGTTAGTACTCGGTTGCTAGAACTGGTGTTATGCATCTTTAAAAGTACCAGGAATCGCACCGGGAATCGTAATGAAAACTTTCTCGAAACAAGAAGTCAAGTACTAGCGGATCGTAAGAGAAATCTCCAGGAAAGACAGAGTTGGTTCTTACTCTCCACTCTTGAAAATTGATGTGCATTTCTTTCTTGCAGGTGCTTGATACGATTTGAATGTATTAGTTAATAGTTGGGAACTTTAACGTTACTTCACTTGTTTCTAAGCATACATCATTTTGAAGGAAGGTGATGTCACCACCGTCCTTGAAGTAGCACAATATATAGGGCTAATGGCTGTAAGAATAGAACGCTATTGTTGAACGGTTTCTCATGAAACGTGCGGATAGTTGCACATAAATTGATGCTAGGTCTTCTCAGAGTTGGATTAAGTGAGCAGAATGACAATCACTCAAACTTCACCCTTTCGCACATCTCAGCTTGTGGATAATTGTCAGCTCTCTTAGGTTATTACATCACATTGTTTTGCCTGTGTGCATGTGCGGACTAAGAGAAGGATGAGCAAAAATGCTTCGATTTAACTCAAACAAAAGTAGGGAATAAGAGAAGGGACCCTTCCCAATACATTTTCACTCCAGAGCAAAGACAGTCTGAGGTATTTGTAATTCAATCTTTTACTAAATACTTAGCCCTAAGAACCACTCGCAATCCTCACCAAGATTCTATTAAAGATGCTTAACCGATGTCAAGAAAATCTAGGAAAACTTCAAATCCATTCGACATTGTGCACGCGTAATTTTCATTCTCGAGACTCCCTTAACAGAAAGCTAGTTGCCCAAAACGATCAACATCTGAAGAATTGTTTTTTTACATGGCCACGTATCCTAGCTTACCATACTAATGCAACTAGAAATTTACCAAATGTCGAATGAATCCTCTTTAAAATTCAGCATCAAGACCTTCTAATAACCTTCGAACCTTGATTACAAGCTCGCTTCAAAGAAAACGGTTTGCTCTTGTTGTTTCAAGGTGTCGGCCACATGCGCAATGACTTCTGCTCCTTCATAATGCATCCACTTTATCTTAACCTGATTTTCAAAAATCCAAATTGCGTTCAGTCAAGTTTCGGGAAACCAAGTGTAAGAGCTCACAAATGTACTTTGTATCTCAAAATCAAAAGTGCTACACGTATGAACTTACATTTAAAGCATCATGGGCCACCAAATAAGGCCACACTGCTGAATGAAAATTCACGTCCACCTTTCGCCAGCTAACTCGCTGCAACCCCCGCACCATTTCCTCTAATTAACACATTCTGGTTAGCGATTTAGCATTGCAACAGCGTAGCATGCAGCGTAGTGACAGAACCATGTAGACATGCTCTATATGAAAAACTTGGACTCAAATTACAGTTTCAATTTTATTCAAAAAAACATTGCTAATCTGGAAACAAGTGGCGAGAAGAAACCATGCAGTACAAAGCTATTGAGCGATGATATGAATATATAACAAAAACTCTTTCAGCACGGCGCAAGTCATGGGATGGTACCTTCAAGCCTATTGTGGTACGCGGCAGCTTTCTTGCTGTCGGGAGAAACTTGAGCTGCGGCTTTACCCTGAGCAGACTCCTGCTGGAAAGCAGGGGCATCACTGGCCACTGCCGGACAGTACTCAACATTTACAACGTGCTTGTAACCGTCCATAGAGACTCTGGGAGGCTGCAACAAGCCACATCAGCTATGAGTTCTGTGCTGTTACCCACAAAGAACAAGGTCCTACCAATCTCTTCCAGCCGTTATAGATTGAGGCTAGTATGCAAAACAAAACCTCCAACCGATAAAAGCAGCCTTACGTACTCTTGGAAGCTCGCTCTCTCGCCTTATAGAGGATGTCCGCCAACCCACTACATCTGTGCAGAGGAAGTCAAGAAATCCTGAATAAAATTTTGAGCTAATTTTCTATTTGTAAATGTCATTGACGAAGAAGAAAGATAGTAACCTTCTCTCTACTGTTCCGCTTTTTTACAAACTGTCGCCAATGTGACATGATGTATGCTGAACGCTACTCAAATTTATCATCTCTAAGTTCATGCAAACTATATGGTTTACCATACTGTCTCTTTTTAGCTGTTGATTCTTATCACTTCATCGAATCAATAAATCCACGCTAATACAGAAACAACAGGAACACAGACTAAGGAACAAAGAAAAACATAAACGAAAAACGACGAGTGATGTGTGGATACAATCATATCTGACGTTGGCGTAGACCACTCTTGACTTGAAGGCCCTCAAGGCAGATCTGTGAATTGAATAAGACCGGATCAAACTCCGCTAGATTTCATCCATTTCAGAGATGATTTTTTTACGAGAAATCCACCAGAAAAACAAATAAACAAATAAACAAATAGAAAAAAGAAAACAAAAGAAAATTTATGGGCCAAATATTGGACAGGTAGTGTAGAATGTTACATACATGAATTGACCATCTGGGCAATCTGAGGCCATGCGCAAGAGCAGAGGAGAGTCACTTGACTTTCCGTCCGTCAAGAAGAGCTGCTTTCCTGTGCGCCCCATTACAAAAGGTGCAATTGGAGCTGCAAGCTTTTCCAGCACTGGCACTCCCAGCAGGATTGGCAGCTGATAGAAGTTATGATTGGGTTCAGTCACCTTCATGTTCCAACGACCAGCAACTGGAGGACAACGCATTGAAGAATTTTGCGTAGGGGAACATAGACATAAACATTATTTCTTCATCTGTGAAGAGGAATTTTCTCACCTGTTTATTACCACGTACACCCAAATGAGGACTCGCCAGAGCGATGAAATTAACAGCTTCTAAACCAGCAATCTTGGGTTCTCGGCGACGTCGAAACACGGGGTGTTCCTCGCCTCTGCTTTCTAGCTCGTCTAATATATTCATATCTTCAGTGAAATCATCCTTTGGTGTGTACAGCATCGCCACAGCATATCGTGCAAATAGTCCCCCAAGAGAATGTGCTACGAATGAGATCCGCTTTAAGGACGGCACTTTCTCAACAATCTGCTCAATCTGATTGCATACCCAAATAACAAAAATCAATGCCCAATACTATAGAATGAGACCATTGACAATTGTCTTATTCGGAGTACGAACACAATGAGTATCTCACGAGATGGTGAGGTAGGTAAAGGACAACGAGAAGATGGATACCTCTGAGGCAAGTCGTCGGCCAGCGTTGTCGATGCCATCAAGAGTATTCAGAAAAGAGTTAACAGCGCTTGCTGCAAAAATTCCCAAATCAAACATGCTTTAATGTCATGCTTATTTTAAAAATAAAAATAAAAAAGTATATTTGGTTTGATTCTATGCCTACAATCTAACGTCTACTTCACAGCAGGAGCTCCTAAAGAAGTGCCAATGAGGAATGAAGAGCAGGGTTTACAGCTCAGCTAAGCAGTAACGATTATGTTTGTTGAGCATGTTCTTAACATAAAGTCTGGCAAAAGAATCGAAAAATCGTGTTGAATTCCATCACAAAAACTTCCTCAGTTTATGCGCAAAAATCAAGCGAGTTACCGTGAATCAAGAACCTGTTGCCGAGTCGGCTCTTCAGTTCATCTTCCGCGTATTTCCAATTGCTGGGACTGCAGACAAGGAAGGTCTAACCATAAACTATGGGCTACAATCCGAAGGAAACAAGCAAAAAATGTCACATGTGATATACATCAGGGGTTACAAGAATGTGAGCCCACGAACAGCGACAAGTGACTAGACAATTCAAAATTGCGTAGGACTTGAGCTCAAATGAATGAGGTTAGAAAACGAACCTGGCAAGAATTCCATGAACAAGTATCAAAAGATGGTCAGATTCGACATCAAGTTGCTGTGCCCTCTCATTGCGTGGCTGCATTACAGGCACACAAAATCCACAATTGCTGGAATACTCGCCTTTCATGTTGTCCTCACCACTTTCTTCCTTCTCGCCATAGTCTGTTGCATTTACAAAAATTCTTGTCGGTCTTAAACAATGAAAGAGTCCGATGAGCTCGAAAAGTTTATTTGTTTACATGTTCATGTGAATTGGAAGCAAAACATGTCGTTGGCAGGATAACTATGACTCTGAGTTTGCTGATTAGTTAGTGCCTAACAAAAGTCTGCCTGGAGTTCAATAATGGTAAATTAAGATTTGTCAGTATGCAAAGATTTTTATAATAAAGAAGTCCCATCCCAGTTTTATAACACAAGGCCTTGCGAACATCAGGACCAAATATTTCCACCCCAGTTCAAAAACCTGAGTGCTCTGTCAACGCCCTGAATTTGCATCACAAAACTGAATGCTCTAAATCTTTGGGACCCCACACCATCAAGCTCCAAAACTACACTTCATTTACAGTAAAACACTCTCCAGAGTCGCGAACCTCGCCCAACTAGAAAAACCTAGCGCTCCTCACGCGCATCACAAATAAGAACTCGACTGCTCGCATCTCCCATCAACTACCACCAAAGTATCATCAACCCTCGCAGTACCCAAAACACAGAACTAAACGTACCTGTACATGACAACGTTGACGGAATCAATCCCGATCGAATGACTTCACGTGACAATTATCTCTTCAATCCCAAAACTTTACCGCTCACGTAGCCGAGTTGAACAATCTCCCCCCCAAAATAGAATAACAAAATATAATAAATAAATAAATTCCCGCTTCGTTTCTGGAAGCTACAGATCCCCCCACCCCACCGATCACATCACGCACCTCCGGCTAACGTAACAATAGCATAATCATGTTGCAGTAATAGCACGCAGCCGCGATTGAAGACGGTTTAGTACTTTCCTTCATACGATCAACCGACGATCGGATAGCTTGTTCATTAATTGTCACAAGCATGGCAGCCATGCGCGACCCTGCCAGAAATTATCGGGCCGATTACCACAATGGGGCCCCGACCTCGTTCCATCCTGTGAATTTCTCCCCCTCCCCCCACCTAAAGTAAAAACAAATACGCCGAAATCTCCAGCAACCCAAACAGTCTTTCCTCTACGTTGTCAGCGCCACCCACTGTCCCCACCCAGGTTGTCTCTCCCGTTGAGAAGGGTTCCCCTGAACCGTTCGGCCGCGCAGAACATTCCACTCTGCGCGTGTGGTCCCACAATGGCTTCCATGTTTCGAAGGTGGATTGGGGGTTCATCAACAACTGGCACGCCTCAAGTTGGTGATGGGATGAGCATAATTTTTGGCCCGCCACGCGCAATGTTAAGAGCGCGCGAAGAGTGTTGGTGGGTATTGTAGAACCCGTGACCTCCTCGGATGGTGCAGATCATCTTCTTCTTCGCAAGAAGGGAAGGGTGATTGATGGGCTATGGCGGGAGAGATCGAGCACCGCCTGGCACTCCATAGCCCTCCCTCCCTCCGGATAAGAACCCCCGTCCGGCCCTCAGCGTCGCAGCACACAACGACGACTCCCGTGGGAACGGGGCTATTTCCTCACCTCCCACCATCCCCCCCATGTTCTATTGGATGTTAATTGCGTGGATGAAGTGGGGTCGTGCGTTTGGATGTGGATGATAAATAAGAACGCTGATCATGTTTGTTGGGAGTCAGTCTCATATACATTTACATACATAGTAGTGGAAACTTGTGCCATTGACCACAAAAAAAGATCAAATATTTGAAATGTAAAATATAATTTTACATAATAGTCATGAAAGGCAATGCTGGTTTTTACAACCATAGTTGGAAGCTTCCAAGCTCCACATCTAGTGATCTTGCAGTGCTACTCTTGGCAATCTACAACAATATCGATTTTGAACTCTAATTGATCAAAAGTTGAGTTATTGCTTGACTTTTGATGAAAACAAAGAGATATGCAGCCAAATAAAGATGGTTTGTGTCTCCTCTTGTTTATCTTATTGGTTTATCTCCCTAAGTTGTTTATATAAGTTATACATTTCATTCCTTCTTGTTTGGCTTAGTTGTGTTCAAAGTTTGTATTTGAACAAAAAAAATAAAAGAGTATATTCTATCATGCAAAATATATGTCTATTTATAAGTGCTACTTATATGATTGATTTTTTATATAATAATGTTGTATGATTGTTGTATTGTAATGGCTTTTGTATTTTGATATTTAAACATTAAGATTTGTGTTTTGCTCTTAAAAATATGGCAATGCACTATAAAGCATTATAGCTAATTTTTTTGAGAAATAAGAATTTTAGAATCATTTATATTTGTATTTTTACTAATATGTATATATATTTGATAAAGCCACATACCTTGGAACTTAAGATGAGTATGGATTGAATAATAGTTTGAAAATTGTATAGTATGCTACACTCTCACACACACAAACATATATATATATATATATATATATTCTTCTAAAGTAAAGAATACTTGGTAAAAAAATTTTAAATTATATTATTTTGTGAGAACTTACAAAATTTGTGAATACACTTGTGAGTACATCAACTATAAGCATTTTTTATAATTGATGTGGAGTATATTATGATTTTAATACTACAACAAAAATCAAAGCATGCATTCTATGTGTCTTATTTTAGAAGATATTATTTCCATTAACATTAATATGTAGTAAATAATATACTAATAATTATTATTAATATTATTAATATTATTACTATTGTTGTATACAGAGGAATATACTAGAACATAAAATAAATTAATATAAAATACCATATAAAGAATGATATGTAAAATGCATTTATATGAAATGAAGAATAAATAAATTAAAAAATCACCATATTTTAATCTTAAGTAGTGTTGAATTATTTGTAAGCAAAGAGTGTAATTACAGTTGAATAAAGTATTCTTACTGTTATTCTATTTTCATGTATAGATCTCTTGCACATACCTTAAAACATATCTAAACTTCTATTTAAATTTATGTTATAAGGTTTTCAGACATATTATAACATACATCATAATTTAGGTATTTATTACTTATATTTGGATGTTTTTGTTACAAAATTATAGTAAATGATGGTCTTAATTAATGAACAAAATTTTAAATTAAATTAAAAGTTGGATTCATAATAATTCTCATTAAAATTATTGTCTTTTGGTTATTATTACAAAATTACAAGAAGTAAAATCTAATAAATTAAGATATAAAAAACTAGATATGTATACATACATATATATACATATATATATATATATATATACATACAAAAACATATATATATTTTATTAAGTGTCTTAAAGTAATAAAACATGAATTTAAATTGTTTAAATAAAATTTAATAATTATATATATATATATATATATCAATTTTATTAATTAAGAAAAAATAAAATGATAAAAAATAAAAACGTAAATCATTTTTATTGAATAAAGTTATAAAAGACTTTATTGTCACAAATTACAATAAATTTATTAAAATAAGGCCTTTACCAAGGATAGCAAATCCACTTGCTTCAAGCTCTTACCAACTTTAAATAAATAGTGATTAGCTTCAAAGACATTCAATATAGAACGACAAAACACCATGGAAGTCATAATATTCAAAACACAAAACACTTATATAAAGAACTAACCATTCCCTCTACTCCACAAATTCGATTACGTAAAACTCCTTACAATATAATGATACCAGACATGGCTTGCAGGGACCACAACATTGACCGTGCACAACTCTCAACTATGAACAAGCACTGAACAATGATCTGTTCATATAATTAATCCACCCTTTCACTAAATCGACCCATCTAATCAAGATTCACACATGAAGGATCGAACTCCATCACGAGGAACTCTCGAAATCTCGTAACAACACACTCACGAAACATTGAAACTGAACACACATTCTTCCGACCGATCTCAATGAGCTTGTTGATGGGTCGATTTAGTAAAAAAGTGGGTCGATGTAACAATGTCCTACACTTATATATATATATATAAATCTGTAGAAACATTTACTTACATTCATTCAGGAAATAAACAGGAACGAGAAGGGGTGAGAATGGCAGCAGGCAAGAGCACCGGAAAGAATTAGGGAACGGCCACATGGAAGTGAGAATGAATGTCCACCTTGTTGCCATGGCAGCAGCAGCAGCAGCGGCGGCACTGTCTGACAACATCCTCTTTTTATGCTTTGGCTGGAGCTCAATCGCCGTGTTGATCCAATGAAAGCTTTTCGATCCCCGCCCACTGAATCAGGTTGGATGTGCCGGAGTCTTGTGGAGGAGCCATTTTGTCCCTGCCAGGGTTGAGCGAGGCGATCACCGTAAGCCATTTTTCGGCCACTTTTTTTGTTGCAAAGCTGTGTACGGAGTTGGGTATTTGAATCCCTGGATTTGTTGGTTCGCTGGGTAGAAGCTGAGAGTTGGATTCGGATTGTGGGTTTCGGATTTCAGAAGGGAAGGGGTTTAAATAAAGATATGGCCGCTGTAGGTGCTCGCGCAGCGTTTCTGGCGAGTTTTTCATCGGCGTGCTTGCGGCAGAGGGTTTTGTCAAGAAATTCGGGGCTTTCTAGACCTTTTGCTCGTCAGACTGATAAGAGTGGATTTCGAAGCTTTTCGACGGTTTTGAGGCACCAGCGTTTCAATGTATGACGAGTGTAATGTGCATTCGTTTTCTTAGAAATTGGGTCTGTGTTGATCTAGCTCACAGCTTCTGCATCGTGTGTTAGGTTTCCACGAGTTGGTGCCATTAGTGTCTTGCCTTGGCTCTGGTCTTTCTTTGGGGAATGTGAAATTGGCTCTGGTCTCTCTTTGAACCAATTTTACACCAAATTTGAAATTCCGGAATCTGTACCCCTCGAGAGTGCAGTTGATGTAATCAATTGATTTATCCTTCTGATTTGTGCTTGTGCGTATACCGTGATTTAATGGGCATCTGGTTTACAGGAAACATTTGGATATGTGGAACAAATTCTTCTTTACAGGATTGTAGTTGTAACTGTTATGGTCGGCTATGGTTGCTGAGGGTTGCTGGTACGCTGCCTTAGTGAGACATGTGCTGAGCACAAATTTGTGTTGGCAAGCAGCAGGTAGCTAGGCGCTTGAGCGTTACAGCAAGCATGTCGACAAATGCGGGGCCGGAAGCCGCGGCCAACAATCCAGGCTATTGTGGCAGTCCTGATGCAGCCACCAAAAGCTACTATGTGCAACAAACCGTGAGTACCAATTGCTGTATTGGCTCAATTCAGAAGTTCCATTCAGTTATGGCAGGTGCTTATGCAGGTGCTGAATGGATTGATGGCCAAAGTCATCCTCATTTAGAGTAGATGTCTATAAACAGAATTTGTGGAAGGTTTGATGTACCCTGACCCTTGTTGACGGGGATCCCTGGCTTTACTGCTATCCAGATGTACAGAATCAAGGACCCCAAGGCAAGCTTGGAGTTCTACTCAAAGGTTTTGGGCATGACGTAAGACTTTCGACCTTACTGATGCTGTTGTGTCATTTAGAGACCACGGTGTGTTTAGTAAAAGCATTACATGGATCAAGTTGTGTGTACATGGGCATTGGCCGTGAAATATTATTTTAACGAAGATTGATCGGTGATTTAGGCTTATCAAAAGGCTTGATTTTGACGAGGCCAAATTCAGCTTGTACTTCCTGGGATATGAGGTACGATCACTGGGCCCTCATGTTCAAACTGTTGAGGACGTGGTTTATTTATTTATATATTACTCATTCAATCTTAATAATTTCTGCCGTCAATAGCACATTCCTTGGGTAGTTGAAAAATCTACTATTGCCCGTATTTTTCAGAGTCCGGAAACCATCCCCAACGATACAGCAGAAAAAACTGCTTTCTTATTCAAGTGCAAAGCTACCTTGGAGCTCACGCAGTAAGCATTCATGTTAATCTGCTTAAATTTGTGTGTGCAGCTTCACTGACAACATGTCCCTATGCTTGGTATTCATGTCTGACATCTGGCGTTTTCTGTTTGTCGCTGACGCGGCTTTTATGAACCTGATTTGCACGACTGCCACCCCTGTATTGACTACCTGCTCGTATTTTTGAGGAGTGATCTTTTATTCTCTTGAATGTTACAACGACTCTGTACTGACCTTATTTTGATTTGCGGATTACAGTAATTGGGGGACGGAATCAGACCCAGACTTTAAGGGTTATCACAATGGAAACAGTGATCCACGAGGCTATGGTGCGTTGAAGACAACACCTTCAAATTTTCTCAACTTGAACATCACTTTTGTTTCGTCTCTTGAACCAGGGCTTTGAACGTTAGCTCAGATCTTGACAGCTACAAAGGCTTTTTGTATCTTTTTGGAGCAAGTTGGTTCTGTAGTACCTAAATTCAGTTGAGGAATGAAGAATGTGTAATGCGCCTCTCTACGCATCATCTTGTTCATGTATATGCGTCTGGCTACCAATTTATTGCAACAAGCTCTTATGCCATAAGACAAAGTTGTAGAGGCCCTTTTCGAGTAAGTTGTTGCCGACATGTTGTGATTCCAGGGCATATTGGAATTACTGTTGATGACGTCTACAAAGCATGCGAACGTTTTGAGAAGCTAGGAGTTGAATTCGTGAAGCGCCCAGATGACGGTAAGCGGCTCTATTTTCAGTTGGCACTGCCTTCTTTTGAAGATTTATGACTGGATTTTCTAAAATAATTAGAACCGTTGAATATGTAGATTTCTCAGCATGGTGATTTCATACAAGTTGTTCCGTGGTCAATGGATGGTTAAGCAGTTGCCTTTTGTCGAGCTTCGTTTGGTAGCAAATAGTAGAATGATGAGGGTTAGAACTGAATTAGAGTGGGCTTCTCTATGTGAGAATTACAGGAAGGATGAAGGGACTTGCATTTATCAAGGACCCTGATGGTTACTGGATTGAGATCTTTGACGTTGATCGCATGTCCGGTTTGATCCACGGACCGTCGTCCTAAAGATCGGGCCTTGGGCACTTCTACCCATAAATTTGATAATAGGATTGTGCAAGAGTACATGCATGCAGTGGATTTTCTAGCAACGATGGTATGAACGATTGAAAATGTTTTGTGAAATGCTATGAATTGTATTCAGGTATTCACATTTACAATCAATGCAAAGATTTTATAAGTAATGTTCTCCCGTGTTAGATTTAGTGAGCTTATTCTGTTCGTCAACTCCTTGAAACTTCTCTCGAGCTTGATGCCTTGGCATTCTACTGGATAACTGCACTATGAAATCATGGTTTCAGCTGCCAAGTGCGAATACTTTAGTTACTGAACTTTATCAAGTGACAACAACTGCTATCTCATCGAAAGTTGGGTTACTTCCTGAATCATCCTTTTTGATTTTGTCACATTTCTAAAACAATACATATGGAATATCTCAACTTGAACCGAATAGCTTGATATCTCCGTGTGAAATTTCCCAATCAAGCATCGGTGTTCCATCATGCGAATCACTTTGTAGCTGTTGTTTGCGAAGCCTCAAGCGGTGTTTGTTTCGCTTCAAGACTTCAAGGATGGACGAGACGTGAACGAACATAGATGACCGAACGTTTGGTAACGAACGAGAAGACCACAACGGAAGGAAAGGGAGCACCCAACAGGATGTCATTAGGGTTTCAAATAATAGGGTGAAGTAAATCTTTCAGTGGAAACACCCAAGGTCATGCTCAAAGCCTGCGAGCCGTAGGGCTATAGCTCTTCAACCATTAAAATAAGAGAAGACTTCGCAACCAACATCTACTTTTCAAGAAACCGCGATGTAAAGCTTTTATCACACTTGAGCTCAATGTCTTCAGTCTCTCTAGTTTCAACCTACAAAACATCATTTGAAAAAATCATCGTGTGTAAGAAGAATGGTGTATCTTGGTATTTTCGTCAATGCTTGCATGCGACTATTGAGCATAGAAAAGATATCATCTACCAGTTTCCTTAATTTAAAGGAGAGTATTTGTATTTTGGAAACAAACAGTGATCATGAATGATTTCATCAGATGATTTTTGTGCACTGCTGGGTGGAGAAGGTGAGCTACGTTGACACACATCCCAAGGCACTTGCCCTAAATGCAAAGTGATCTCTGTTGTGGTGGTGCAAACCCACAGTGGCAGTTGCGCTTCGCGCGCTTGGGCTCTTCTCTCGTGGCTGCGTCGTGGTGTTGATCTTTCGTGCTTTTGAGTAGAGATGGCCATTGCACACACGATGGAGGAGGAGGATGGGAATGGACACGGTGGGGAGGATCTGGACCTCGAAGTAGTCGTGCCAAAGGATGTGCAGGCTGTCATGAACGCCGCGGAGGAGGGCGATGCTGAGGCTCTCACGATTGCTCTAGGTCTCTCCCAGCTTGCTTCTTTTCTCCCGGCTTTGCTTCGGCTCCTGTACATGGGATCTGTCTTCACCTATGAATATTAATGTTTTTTTTGCTATAAATCTCTGTGACACAGACGTATTCGTTATGGAACTTAATTTTCTTTTCTTTTCTAGCGTTACTCCCGCTTAGACTGTCACATCTAGGAAGTTGGATGTTTAGTCCGAGGTGGATTTTCAAATTGCTTCAATTCACGTGATTGTGGGTTGTGGAGAGACGCGAATCTGAACATTGCTCTTTGAATAAATTCTCTTCTCACGCTTTATAATCTTAGAGGCTGTGGGGTTTAATATCGCATATTTGCAAAATCCTGATTTCATGTGTAGTTCTCACTTGAACTCCGTTCGATCCGAATCGTAGAGATTTTAAGCTTGAGCTGTGAAACGAGCTGCACTCACGAAGTTGAATGTAGACGACCGTGAAACCTCTACATCTTGAGCTGAGATTCATGGTTATAGGACTGAAGCTAATTTTTTAGCTTTTCGGATCAAAGGCTTTGAGCTCATGCTGAGAATGGTCCATTGGATTACAGAAAACCTTAAAGACGGCGTCGATTGTGAAGGCGAAGATGGGGACAGGCCACTTCATATTGCCTGTCTTTATGGCCATCTGTCTTGTGTACAGGTATTGCGGCTCTCTTGTTCATGTCCATTTCCGCAGGTGGCTGTAAGCTTGTACTTGATGCTTATTGGTAAATTCAGCTTGTGCTTGCAAGATTAAGGTACAGATGTAATGCTAAGCTAATTATAAGGCAGAGAAAGAGTAATTTTATATTTCCCGAGGATTAATTAGTTGCTTGGAATTTCCTTTGTTTGTTTTGCTACACTTCATTCTGTAGCGAGGTCTCGTCTAATTGGAACAATTTACTTTCTTACCAATTTAGTTGGCGCAAGTTACTGGGATTCTAACGACATGGATGGGTGCCAGATTCTACTTACAGCTGGTGCAAATATCGAAGTTCGAGATGAGGATGGAGCACTACCTTTACACGATGCATGTGCAGGAGGTATCGAACACACCACCTAAACCATGTCACATCTATGAAGTAATTACATGTGCTCTTTTGTGTACCATTCTGCCGTGAATGATTTTGTTCTGCCGACTTGGACTAATCAAATCAAGGTGCTGTCGAACAGTAAGATTACCTTGTTCAGTTTGACCTTCTTAGTTCGTATTTAAAAGTATGCTGGTTGTACGTGATTGTGATTGTTGTAATCGGATTTGGACTTTGTACAGGGTATAAGGATATCGTGAACATGTTGATTCACGCTGCTAATAGTCCAGGGCAGCTGAAACGTGTTTTAGATTCATTCGACATCGATGGTGATACGGTATGGTCTCCTCTCTCTCTTTGGGCATTGTTTCACGTTCTCTCTTCTGAAATTTTTGTACAGCGATGTTGGTGCTTGCTTCTAAGTAGATGTTAGTTGGAGAAGTTATTGTTTTGTAAATAGTTTCTCAATTTTATATGGTAGCTCAGCTCAGCGTTTTGGATACCTTGGTCTGAGTATCGGCGCTTGTGAGTATCGTAACACAAGATCTTAAGAATAGGCCTTTCATTGCTCAATGTATCATGTACTGAAGCTTTAGCACTGCTGTCCTGGTTGATGATGCAGCCCTTGCATCACGCAGCCAGGGGAAACCACTCAGATGTTGTGCAGATGCTTCTTGACTCAGGAGCAAACCCCAAAATTATAAATCTCATCGGACAGGTATCAAATCTTGCAATAGACTCCATTTGTGGAATCTAACAATTTCTTCATGATACTAAACGCCTAATTAGGTAGCTCATTGTTCTTCAAAACGAACAGATTGCTTGTGGCAGTGATGTAATTATGTGCTAATTTGTACTTTCGGAAATGCAGCGCCCTGCAGACTTGGCTGATCCAAGTTCTCCGTCCCAAATCCTGTTGAATGATGCTGTTAAGAAGCTGAATGATGGAACATCAGAAGCTTAGTGCCATGATTTATTCCTCCCAATACTTGCAAGAACCTGCAGCTAATCGGGCTTGAAAATCTAAGTTTGCTTATGCTCAGAAGAAATCAGGGTGACTCTTTTTATTTGCTTCTCAATTTGCTATGTAGAAGCAAATTGTAGCGGTCAGTATGTGCCGATTGCATTACTACACGTTATAGGCTTTTAATGCAAGAGCTCTCTTTGAGTTGAAATGTCCAGATCACTGTGATTGCAGATCCAACATATTGGTGTCTGTTCACTAGTAAGAAGTGGCCTTCGTGTATGTTCTCTGTCCAGATGCACACGGCCACCCTCCAAGCGGCTAAATTTTGTAAGTGTGGGGCGTAGTGATGGGCATGGGTAGGGATGAAGAAACCAGCTATGTTCCAGCTGTGTCCTACTTTCTTAACATACGTAGGTGTGCTTTTGTCATCTTTTGAACCTGGTGACATTCTGGACAATGAGTTACCGTACTGGCTGCCCACTGATCCTGATGTCACTTATACCAGTTCCTTGCATGGGTCATGGTTAACATTTTTGTATTCATCTGACAAGTGGTAGAGGCTGTGTATGATGGGCAATACTTGAGAAAATCTCCGTTATGCTATGCGAATTATCACGACCATAATGTGGCTCGCTAGACCTTCTCTGCCCCGTACATTCTTCTCATCTTATCTCCCATGTTAAACAAATCTTCCACCTCCTCAATACCTGCCGTCAAGAGATGTAGGGCTCCAAAAGCTATCTGCTACAGTTCTCGTCTCTTCTACTTTCAATGTTACACCACGACCTCATCTCCATTACGATCAACCAAATCATTTCTATCTACAGTCATAAACAAGCTAATGTCGGAAGGAACAGGAATCCTCTCACCCGAACGTACAAAGCTGGACGTTGCTGCAACACGGTTGTTGCAGTAAAAAACAAGTCACTATCCGTCAACATAGCACAAACTGTAGCAAGACCCAAACCAGTACTGATATTCTCTTCAGCATCTGATCTGTACATGATCACACCCAATTGCAAAATCCTCGGCAGCAGTGGAGATTCATTGAATTGTCCGAAGTCGAATTCCCCTTGAAAGTGGAGTTAAATCTAAAGATTTATTTTATTTTATTTTATTTTATCGTGCCTCAACTTGCAGAATGACACTCACTGAGAGTACCCAGTGTGATCGTACTAAAGGAGAGAAACAATGGTACTTGCAAGCCAGAGCTGCAGCAATTGGATAATAAGCGAGGTTCGCCTTCCTGGGGCTTTGTGGCATGTCAGTGAAAGGCATGAAAAAGGACTTGTCCCATGGTTTAATACTAAGAGAGAAAGCGAGAGAGAAAGCGAGAGAGATAGGAGAAACGTAGAAACTCACTGTCTGTCTGTTTGTCTGTAGGTCTGACTGTCTATCTTTTTTGTTTATTTCTGGATGTAGGCAGCCCTGTCTCATTTAGTTTGTCTCCAAGGAATTGACACACCAGGTACAATAGTACCATGCATTGAGGGCTGTGATATTTAAATGCAAAGCGGAAGCAGCAGCAGCAGCAGAATGGAAGTCTCAATTTTTGAAAGGTATTTTTGGATGGAAGAAGTGATCAGTTCTGAAGCTCATACATGTTTTTATTTTTATTTTTTATATTTCAACAAAACTAAAAAAATGATAGAGGTTTTGAGGGGAACGTCTGGGAATGGCGGGAACGGGGACAAGAGATAGGAGTGTAATGATGATTTTGACAATTGGAGTCGGTTTAGTAAAAGCCTCAGTTGTGTTAACAAATATATATATATATATATATATACATAGATTAATGTTCAAAAAAATATTAAGTTTTTTTTTAATTTTTTTAATAATTGTATAACTCCTTTCATTTAATAATAAGCTATATATATATATATATATATATATATGAATTAATTCAATTATTTTGCAATGCAAAAATCTTGATTTTTGCATTTATTTATTATGCAATAGAATATAGTGTCATAGATGTGACACTATTGAGGCTTCTAGGAATAATAGAAAGAAAATCATAATATAATGTCTTTTCAAACTATTTTAAAGATAAATGAAGTGGTGAAAGATTGCATATGAGCTTTTAAAGATAATCAAAGTGCTAAACCGCTCAATTCTTAAATAATAGAGGCAAAAATACTATTTATTGTAATTTACAATAAGACTTTTAAGGCTTGTCATTGGTAGCATGGTCACATGCAAGTGCAGATATTAAATAACGAGCTTTTAAGGACAAGTGCAGATATAACGTTATTGTTTCTTATTGAAAAATTAAATCAAGCTAAACAACATATGTCATGTCACCATCAATTTGGAAATTACTCCACTAATGTACTAGATTTTATTGCATTTACAAGAGCAATTTAACAACAGCAGATCAATCTCACAAAACAATCTTGCAAACTAATGACGAGCCCAGAAGATTCTGGCACAAGTTGAGAAAGACTATATTGTTTGGGAATCTAAACTATAGTCAATAGAATCTCATGACAGGTTTGAATCCAAATGATAGAAAAATTCTCACATGCATAAAAATTAATCTTATTCATTCAATTTTACTTAGACGTTTTTTTGAATTAAGAACATGGATCCTAACAACAATCAAATATATTAAAATTGTAATAATATGTGATTTTTTGAAAAAATGTAAAATACTTTATCATTGAAGTCACAACTTTAGTTCGAAATGCATAATATATTCTTTCCCTGCTCAATAAAAATGGAAAAAAAATAAACAAGCTAAAATTAAACAAAATTATATGCAAATCTTGCAAATCACTTGTATTGCATGAGTAATGTGGAAAAGCATTTCAATAATATCAAACATGTTTCTTATAGTTTCACAATTTGAAAATCACTGATGTTATTAATTACATATAACCGCTCAACATAAAAATTCAACAAGCACACTCTATTTTGCAAATTTTACAACATGTTTATTTATTTATTTATTTATTTTAAATATCATTTCCTAGTCAAGTACTTATTTACAAAATAAACCAATCAAGCAGGTTTTGATTCAAACCATTGATTTCCAACATGATGCAACCCTGTACACACCCTTGAAGAAACAACCAACCATGCTGGTCACCACAAAAGAGAGAAACTTTCAACACAACATTAGAAAAAGTATAGTTTTGGCCAGAACTGCAAATCACATCCACATCATATTTCTCACAAACGTTTTACTTAAATACCAGAAAGTGGGTGGATACCCATAAATTAAAAACAAATAAATATATCAAATGTGGGCAATATCACATCCAGTCCAGTCAGTGGCACTCCCTCCCACTCGCATTGTCACTTCTCATCCTCATCAACGTCACTGCACTCGCTCCCCTGCCACACCCCAAACCTTCAAATCTGTGACCCAGTTTTGGAAACGTGAGGACTTGGATTGCGCGGTCTCAGATTGGCTAAGTTAGTGCCTTCTTCATAGCTTAGCAGCTTCGGCTTGTGTGTGAAGCTTCACACACAAGGGAAATGAACACGCCGCGAAAGGGGCTCCACTATTGTGTGTATCGTGTGTGTTGGGTGCTGGTGATGGTGCTGGTGGTGCCGCCGCCGCCGCCGTCGCCGTCGCGGCTGGTGATGCAAGGGATGAGACGGCGTCAGAGGGAGAAACGAGTGAAGGTGGAGAAGGGTGTGAAGGGAAGGCAATACAACAGCAGAGTGTGATGCGTGTGGGGAGAGAGCGGCAGGGATGACGCGGCATCGCAGCAATCACCACCACAAGGGTATGGCGTGGACGCGCTTTTGTGGCACTGAAGGTTACGCCACATCACCACCAGCGTCGAGAGCCAACTGGGGGATCCGACATTGACGAGAGGGGGGAGAAATCCGTGCCAGGATGCGACGATCCTCCCGAAGATTGAATGAACCCTCCAGTATAACGAGAAGGCCCCCTTCCCCCCCTCCCCCTCCGTCCGTCCCCTGATTGAGACCCACTTTATGAATCACTCTGGGCCCAGTCAATGCCCGGCACAATCGTCGCCCGGAAGCAGGGGAGGGAGGGGCCTGCTGCTGTGTCCCTCCCTGCTCATGATTCTGGCCCTCCACCCGCTCTCCGCTCACCCGTCTCCTCCCTTCTCCACACTAGCTTGACATGTGGATAGGGTCATATTCTCGTCAGCCACCGTCACTGTTCCTCGCTGGAAAAATCTCACCTGGCCAGAGCCTGTTCCAATCACCCTGACCCATTTCCCCATTTACTTTTCTTCATTAAAATTAACAATTTTTTTCATATATATATATATATATATATATGTTTGTTTGATTCAGTTTTCTCTTTTTCCCCCAAGTGATAATTAACGTAAAGCCACAAGCAAGCTTCCGGCAATGAATTGCGGTGGCTGAAGTCATTGCTGGATGCTTGGCACCGAAATCTGTTTGCCCTGAAATAAACAGCCCGCAGGAAAAGTCGAAGGTTCGGCATCAGATGCCACCGTCACTTTCACATGGTGTGCTTCCCAAGCATCCATCCGCAGCAGGTACCGGTATCTTATGTGTGAGAGCTCAAACTCCAAAGCAAAGGGCGCACAATGGACCACTGGACCCGCTGGCTGCATCATCCTGGTCCGCCTTTTATCCAAAGCATGACAACTCAGAAAGGATGTCTTAATGGTTCACACGCCCTATGAACTTAGAGAAGCAGTCTCTCAGCACAGGAAGCAGGCAAAAACACTGTGACCTTTGAGAAGGTCAGCATGGCGTCAGCTCACAGCATGGCGACAAAATTCGGTGCTGCGAAAGACCAATAAGGCCCTCAGTTCTTGATCCATGTGAGAGAAATTAAAAATGTGATAGCATCCTGGAATAATTTATGACCATGGTAGTAGCTTTCTAGTGGTCCCCGACGCCGTTTGCGATACCGAGAATCCATAAAGATGAAGCAAGCGGAGTTCGGCGACTCGACGAGACGAGTCTCGGCTCACTAAATGAAATTACCACGCGCGAGCATTCACGAGTAGCGATCGACGCCGTCGGCGGTGGTGGGGATGCATCGGGATTCGGGACGGGCCGATCCTGAGCGAAGAGAGGGGAGGGATACGGGCGATGGATCACGAGGAGTGGGGGGCGGGGTTAGTTAACTCGGAGTGGACGTCTGATTTGACTGGCGACGTGCGAAGATCAATTGCAGAAGCAGGGAGCTGGGGCAGGGCGCCAGCACGCCGAGGACCGACCGACTGCCTGACCGGGCAACCCAATCGCCGGCGTGGGAGTTACGCTTGAGGGATGATAGCGGCGTTGAACCATGCGCCATCGCATGATGCACGAGGCTGGGCCGGGACTCACGCGCTCTGGAAATGGGACTCTGGAGGGAAGTCTGGCACTACTGGGTCGGACAAACGGATCGCAAGGAGTGTGCGGCCGGCGGGGATGGCGTTTCGGGGACCGGGCCTGCAACAACGCCGGGCAGACGGAGACGATGCGAGAGAAGCGAAGATGAAGAAGGCCCCTTGAGAGGTGGGTGGGGCGGCAGTGACGTTGCGAGTTGTACGAGGTTGACAGGCACGGTGACTGACTGGTCACCCCACTAGTCTACGTCTGCTGGTGTGTCCGCCCGGGGCCGGGACTTTAGGGTACGAATTGCGGGTGGCAGGGACTAGGTGCATAACGTGTGAGCCTGGGGGTGTCGTGGGTAAATCGCAATGGATGTGCAAGAGGCAACAGGAACAGCTGCGGCTACGACTGTGTGGTTGATTTTACCTGTTCGCGTTTGTCTCGCTCGATTTCGCAGTGGTTAGTTGACGATGGTCAAGGAAGAAGAGCGCGTACTGACTCGAAGCCAGCATTGTGATGATTTCCATGATGCATCGTATCATCTGGGGCGATCGTGATGATCGTGTTGTGTGATCGGTCTTGTCTGTGGAGATGGGTGAGTGGGTAGAGAGCAGGGGAAACAGAGCGATTGTGTATGATCGTCCCGTGTGATGGTTGAGTGCTTTACACGCAGTACTTGAAGGATGGACCAGCAGCGTCGGACTGGTCTCTCGGTGACTGGCGGTGATGCCGGGCATTTGTGTTGCCATTCATGGCGATTGTAGAAGAGAGTGTTCAAATTTAGTGCGGTCGCTGGGAGTGGACGAGGAGTGGTAGCACTGGCAGGTGTGAGACGATTATGGGTGCGCGAACAAATAACAGGCAAAGGTTGGCAGAAGTCGACATCGTTGTGGATATTAGTCGCGGTACAAACAGAGGAACTGGTGGAATTGGCGCCATAATGATGGGTTCAGGTGATGATGTTGAGCATTCACCGAGGGTCTCATCGTCGGTTGCAGCGGATAGCAGTGATCTACGGGCTCCCGATATGAATATTGGTGTAATGGACCATCAAGACAAGGACGAAGTTATGGTGGAAGCACAGGGGGTGGGGGAAGATCGATCGGCGGATGAAGCTCTTCCCGATGTGTTGAATGGAAAGGCACCGAAGGCCTTGGTAGCACCCAAATTGGGTGAGTCCAGGAAAAACTCTGGTGGGCTTAGTGACAGCGTCGTGTCGAACGGTTTGGTACATGATACGGACCAGGTGGTGAAGAACGGTGGGTCCCGGAAGAGGAAGTCTAAGACCATCCATTACATGAATTCTAGGGTACCTCATGCTGCGCCTGCATTGGAGAGCGAGGAGGGCTCCGACGGTCAAAAAAGTCCTGAAGAAAGAGGGGATGCTATCGCGCGTCCCAGTCAGGCCCCTCGTGCAGCTGCCATCAAGGTTGGATTAGATTTTATTTATTTATTATTTGTTTGCTTTCTTGGAGACGATATTCTTCTCGCCTTTGTAGTACGCGTGAGGAGTTTATTCTTTATTTTTTATTTTTATTTATTTTTTTTCTGGAAAGAGTTACTGTGTATCATCTGTTGGATCATAAAAGCTAGACGCGATTTCCTTCCAGCGTATGTGCGTGCTTTCCAATTTAGGGCAGCAATCTATTTCTTCCTGTAACTACCAATTGGTCTGGTAGTCTCCCACCACGAAATGTGAAAATATCTTTGCGCTGAGTACGGTTTTGTGACGTCATTGAGTACTGCAAATGAAGTGCAGCTTGAGAGTGTGAAGAGTTGTGTTATTCACTTGACAGTACGATTTCTGTGTTAATTTGGCTATGAGAACTTTGCCAGTGTGTCTTTGTGATAATGGGAAGCAGCTGAAGTCTATGGTTCCAGTTGGAGACAAGTTACTGAAAGCTCCAAGGAACGCCAAGGAGCTCATGGCAACCAGGCTGATGGAGGGTCATCATGTGCGGTGCTCGTGTCGCGGTATACAGGTATGTGTTTATGCTGTCGATTGTTTTGGGCTAAATTTTGGTGGGATGATTCTTCCAACAAAGGTTGCTTTATTGAGTGATATAAATGGTAGCCTCGGACATTATCGGGGACAACAAATCCAGCTTTTCTTTGAGGGCAATTCTAGTGAAACATTTCCACAATAGAAGCTTCTGCATCCAGCCTGAATACAGTCATAGGGTGCAAATGCCTTTATGGTGCAGCGTGATTCTTATTAAGGGGCTTAGTTTTGCCAGTTGAGTTCGGTCCTCTCTCCTAGTAACTATTCTGATACGGGCATGTTGCCTTCGATTGCCATGAATGTTCATACGTACAGTGATAACACTGTGAAGTTTGTGAAGCATTATTTTGTAACGCATTCATTCATATTCTTTGAGCAGCTCACGGGAATGCTGAAAGACATGGGTGTGCAGTGCGACTGCCGGAATTGCAGGGGTTCCGTGGTATGTCAATAATAGAACTCAAACTTTTTCGTAGGGTGGTATCCACCACAGTGGCTTTCTTAATGATTTAGTGTTACCGAATCGAGAGATAAACATTGGATGCCTTGTTGAGTTAAGGGCTGTGGCTACTGCGGGAGATCATGCAGATTGTTTCTATTTCAGCTTTTGAGGCACATTCGGGAAGTACTTCTCACCATCCAAGTGACAATATTTACCTTGAGAATGGGAAGAACCTTCGGGATATTCTCAGCGCTGGTCAAGAAGCGGCAGATTGTGGGGACAACATACTGAGAGCTCTGAAGATGGCTATAGGAGATGTTCAGGGAGTTGAAAAGAGTAAGAGTAAGTGCGCGAAGTGTGGGAATCCAGAAGAGGGTGATTTAATTTACTGCAAGGGAGCTAGGTGCTCTGTAGTTGCACATTCTGGTACGTGTAAATTTATTTTTATTTTTTTTTCCATTTTATTAAGATTTTAGGATGTGAAAAGAGAGCTCTGAGTTAGTGAATTTTTTTGTCAATTTAGTAGTTATGCATGCACAGCGACCTTATTTATTCAACAATCTGATGCTTTAGCGCGTTGTAATCATACAGGATGTGTTGAAATCGCGAACCCACACCTTGGGGACTGGTTTTGTGGTAAGTGTGAGAAAACGAAGAAGCCTCATGCTTCAGTGAAAGTAAAGCGCCCCATCTCTAGTGGAGCAGAGAAGGAGGATAGCCGAGTAAGGTGAGAGTGCAACGAGATACTTGAAAAGTCGATAAGCAAATCAGTGCTTGCGTGTAACGACTGGACCTGGCGTTGTTTGAGTAGCAGCCTATATTGAGCAATAGAATGTATCTTTTTGATCAAAGCTTATGTCTACTTCACAAACATTCCTGAAAAATCAGGAAGTCGAACTATTTCATTCTCTGTAACATGTGGAATAGGATTTTGGACAAATCTCTGTTTTTGGTGTAACAATATGGAAAACTTGAGCTGTGAGAATCGGAAATTGCTGCCCTCCATCTGATTACAACTGTGCCATAGAAGCCCCTTACTGCTGCGTTGTGATATTTGTTTTGCGCTGTACAATTCACGAGGAATGTTATGTGCACAATGACGAGTTTCATTATGGACATCTTCTGGAGCTCGGGGCATTGATATTGCATGAAACCGTTTTTCATCGGTTTTAGTGATCTTTGCAGGGAGAAAGATGCTACAGTGTCGGCCAGATTGAGTCGAGATGCACATTTGCACAAAGCACTTTTCTTGCCTGGTGGATTGGAGAACGGCACAGAGCTAGGCTACTATACGAAATCCCAGGTACTTCAAATCATCCCCTCTAGTTGCTTATTCCTGTGTTTCCTAGTTGCTTATATTCCAAGATTTTTACTTACCCTAGTTTTAGGGGCAAGTGATACTCAAATCATTTGTTTGCAATATGACAGGCTCCTTAAATTTCTCAGGGCGGTTGTCGTAGGACTTTGACATCACCTTTGGTTAACGTAGCAAAGTCGATGGGTTAATGGTTGATTTAAGGGAATGATTGTGGTTCAATTGATTTTTTTTTAATTTGGCAGCTGAAACTGAAAGGTGTGAAAAGAGGCAAAGGTATATGCTGCAGTTGCTGTAACAAAGAGGCAAGTTCCGATGTACTTTGAGTGAAAACATTTAAGCTTATCACTGCGGTATACACGATGAATGCATTTGGACGATGCATACTGTTGATTTTCACTTCGGCGTAGCTGGCTAACATCTGCAAGAACATCTGATGGAACGTATGAATTTCGTGTCATTTGAAGTTCTCAAAAGTTCAATCATGTAGTTGTCTCAATTCCATATGCCAATTCATGCGGGTGCTGCATATAATGTCTCTTGGAAGATGAACATGAATTGGTATGAATGTTGATGGAGATTATGAAGATTGTATAATAGTTTTTTTGATTTGTCACAGATAAGCTGCTTTGAGTTTGAACAACATGCTGGTTGTGAGGCTCGTCGAAACCCGTGAGTATTTTTTTGTCGTTCAATACACACATGATGTGAGGTGTAAATGCTTCATTACTACATGGGTGGTTTTCTGGTAAAATAAGCTCGTGGCCGAAGGCACTATAGTTTCAGAGCTGGATTTCATTTTGTATTATCAAGAGATTATTATATTTGGTCCAAAAGAGGTAGACATATCTTGAACTGGCTACGTTCTAAAAGTAGCGCCAGCGCTGGTGAATATTATTCTGTATGAAAAATTATGTTTTGAACGAATCATTTTAACCTACATGTTATTTTATTTATGATTATTATCACATCGGTATCAACTACGTTGACACTAGCGATGAATATGACAGATACGGAAACATCTTGGTGTTGGTGGATGGTCGTTCCCTGAAAGACGTGTGCAAAGATCTGACTCATAAGAACAAGCTGGGTGAACAACAAAATTGTGAACCACTTGCCAGGGATGTCAACTGCTGTTATGAATGTAGTAGCAGTGGAGAACTGAAGACCTGCAACGGTTGTGAAGAAGCATGGTGCGATAATTGTACCAAAGGTGGGAAATTATGGTCCGACGAGAACGTTTCATGTATGTTTCTGCATTTTGGTCATGTCTAAACAAGTAGCTGTAGGTACTTGTGGATGGAAAGATGTTTGATATTATCGAAGATAATTCCTGGCTCGACACTGCTCTCAGGAGAAAGTGCGGTGCTTGCATGATCTCTGTTCCCACCAGAGTTGGAATAAGGTTTTGAGGAACAATCCCATCTCCGAAATTTTAAGCCGAATTGGAATGTTTCAAGGCTCCCTCGTTTTTAAGACAACACTTTGTCCATGTATGGACTGAATTGGTTGATTAGCTTACTATTGATTCCTGCGTTGCGTGTAATTATTTTCCAGGAGAAGAGGTTGATTCCGATAGCAAGTGGTACTGTCGAATGTGCCGTAATGACACTCTCAAGGTGGCACAGAATGGACAAAAAGTTTCTGGCAAGCACCAAGAGGAATCGTCTAGCATTACAGAAATAGACGAGCGAGGTCGTTGCATACGTCATTTGGAAGGACATCGGGAAGTTGGGGGCTGTGCTATCTGCAAGTAAGTGGTGTTGATCTTGCTTGGTTGGCTGTCAATTACCATCCAGCTTCATATTACAAGATTAGTGATGGGATCTCAGAATATCCTCTGGTTTGTTAACTTGCCTTACTCGCTTCATTGTTGCACTGACAGGAAATGGAATTTGAGCAAGACAGGTTTCGTTGATGGCATGACGATTTTAGTTTGTGATCAAGTAAGGAGCCTAAACAACATGCTGTCTGACACTAAGTTTTATTGCCGCTTGGTGATGTTTAAAAACTAGCTGTAGTATTCGTGTAGGATCCAACAAAGAAAAAGTAGGAAATTGCCGGATTCTTTGAAGTTTTGGGTTTTCATGTCAGGGTTTTTACGTCGGTGGAATAGGTTTGGAAAGTAAGGTATCTCGTTTACTGAGCTTGTCTTTTTACTCTTGACAGTGTGGACGAGAATATCACGTTAGCTGCCTAAAGGATTCAGGCATGGATAACCTAAATGTGAGTATCGTCTTCCAGCAATTTCAGCAAGCTCCGAGAATTTAATATGGATAGGTTTTTTTTGTTGCGACTTCAAAAACTTCGATTGTATACTGGCGTAACATGGATATTCGTTGGATTATCTTATTTGAATTTCCCTTCGTGATCATGTCCAATTACCAGGAATTACCAGAAGGAGAATGGTTCTGCCAGAAGGGCTGCAAAGTCATTGATGAAATCTTGACACAGTTAGTTGCCATTGGGCCAGAGTCGCTATCCCATAGCATAATCAGTGAGTTACCGGAGAATCGGCAGCAGAAGAGCGGTGTGATAGAGAAAGCAGAGTCCATTAGTCCGAGTTTTGAATGGCAAATTCTGTGCGGCAAGGGCAGCTCCCCCGCTAACATTCAGACCCTTGCCGAAGCTGTGAATATTTTTACAGTATGTATTGCCGGTCTTAATCTAATTTTCTCTGTTTTGGTGGTGTCAGTGCTTCTTCATGCGTTCCTTGAACATTTTTTTGTCATGGGACTTAATTATTTATTGCTTGCTATCGGTAGCGTCTCAACATAGAGGCCAAGTTCCTACGAAGACATAATCATGTATAGAATGGTTTGTTTACAGGAGTGCTCGGATCCAATCAGGGATGCGAAAACTGGAAAGAATTTGATTCCGCTCATGGTTCAGAGGTTCGTATTGTTTGATGGGTTTTAAATTTAGATTGTTCGTGATGTGATTTTGAGGATGATTGCTGTTTGTCGAAGGTCGAGGCTTGTGGCGTTTGTGAGTACCGTGACGAACTTGTGAAGTTGCACGTGGATATTCATTCATTGATTGTAAATGCATGTCATGTGCAGTCGAAGGACCAAAGATTACGATTTTGAAGGTGTTTTCTGCGTTGTTCTCAAGCTCAAGTACGCTCTCGTTTCTGAATTACTCTGAAATTTTTGTGTGGGAAATCTGCCAAATGTGTTCGACGGAGAATGATTTGAATCCGATGGTGACAAACATGCTTCGATTGGAATAGATCTACTGTATTCTCTTTCTTCAGCTGCATCTGTAGAGGCTATTCCGAGGTTACACTAGCGCTTTGCTCATACTAAATTAGGTATTTATTTGGGCTGTAGCGGGAAGGTGGTTTCGGCGGCTCTACTGCAAATATTTGGTCGGGAATTTGCTGAAGTGCCTTTGGTAGCAACTAGCCTCCCACACCAGGGCCAGGTAAAGTGTCTCCAATTCATTCCTAGTATGGTCTAGATGGTTTGTGACATGTTACCTTGGCACGAGGTGGTAGAAATCAGGTGCACAACCCTTGAGACTTGGATAGTGGCGATGTTATTTTAAAGAACCTATAATACCATAGAACTACAAATAGGACACGACAGACATGTTTACCTACACGTTTTTGATGTTGGGCGAAGCTTTGAGATGCAAAAGTGCGAACACTGTAACCGGACCTTTGAATTGTTCTTTTGAGACATTTACATCAGTGTTGATGTGATGGACAACGTATCTGCGTGCCTTGTCTTGTAGTGATGCTTTATTATACTGCATTTTGGTGAGCAGGGTTTCTGTAAAGCACTTATGACGACAATAGAGAGACTTCTTGGGGTGCTGAGTGTGGAGCGGTTGGTGCTCCCTACAGCCAAGGATACAGAATCACTTTGGGTCAACAAGTTTGGCTTCAGTCGTGTGCCAGTGGACCAGGTCGGTAGTTCCTTTCGCCCGTCTCACATGGATTATCGTTCGAAAGTGGTTACTTCGTGAGTCGAAAGAAAGTTGAATTTCATTCGAAATGTATTTTTTGCAAGTTTCACGTAATTGTTTCTGGCTTGATTGTTGCAGCTGAAAACAATTTGTACAACTATACGTTTGATGACATTCACGGGCACGTGTATGCTGGGGAAGGCCATCACTCCAATGACAGTGTAGGGCGCGATGGCCAAGACTGTTCGCTGCAGAATGAGATTATTCTCGGAGGCTCCCAAGTTAACATTTGTTGTACAGAAAGAGGTTTCAAAGACATGTAGAGTCGTGATGGTTGTATTCGTGCATACCGTGTAGAGCTCTTTACTGAAGGTGCACTTTCAAAGGACTGCTGCTTCTCCCAGTTTTGGGTACATTGATGAGGAGGTTTTGCTGGCGCTTTACATGGCAAGTTTTAGCAACTATGTTCATACCACTGTTACCTGCTCCAGGCTCTAGTGCAGCACGTCTGTAAATGGTTTGTAAAGAGCTCAGTTTTTCTGTCAAGCTTGAAAATTTGCCGCCGCATTCCAGGCTCCTTAACCATCTTCCTCTTTCATATGCTCTCAGTCCTGTGATGCCAATTTCAAATGAAGCGTAAAATCGGGGACTACGAGCAATTTAAGTGCATCTTCTTCTGAGCTAGGGCTTTCCCTTAAGACCTCGAATTTCACTTAAACCATCCAAAGTCTTCAGTAATTTCATTATAAATTTTATATTATTTAGTTGGGCCACTCGGAAAGGTGAATATTATTTTGATCACTAATACAGTTACAAAATACTCTATTTTCTCGTTACTACCAGGATAATTTCCGGATCTAGTATAGGTTTCGAGCAAGTTCGGATACAGTGATAACAATCGTTTGCTCATTTCTACCATGTACATTTCACAGAAGCTTAAACATCTACTTGGTTCCAATACAAAAAAAGACTTTGGAAACAGTAATGCTCATCAGTGCCTTCTGTCAACAGGTTTTTGAAAGCTCTTTCTGTACAATTCTCAATATAATGTTTAATTTTTTTAACTTCAAGTATTACCCTATTCTTTTAGTTTAAAGAACAGTAATCAGCTCTTACAGGCTTGTGAAAGTATCGTGGACGTTGAAAATACAAAAAAACGCAGAGAGGATCAAATCAATGTCTATTTACTAATTCTTTTAATTTTCCAAATCATGTATACATGAGTAAGTTGATGGGGGCAGCTGTCGAATTATACTGACAACTTCAACGACTTTTTGAAGTCCATGGAAATAGCAAGATAGTAATCAAAATTCTTAAAGTTAATGTTAGATGAAGATTCAAAAAATAACGCTGATCTTTTTCTTTGTTAAAAACCTGTAATATTCTTGGATCTCATTACATATTATTTATCGAAAACCTCCCTAACATAATAAATAAACAGGAATTCAATCAATTTTCAATTTAAGATCGAATTTTAGAAATTTCTATTTTTATATACTATGTAAATCAAGAGTGTGAGACATTTTCTTTCAATTTTTTTGTAAACAAATTAATAAATAAAAAAAATGGATTGAAGAACACAATTACTTCGTAACTATGAAAAAATTAATGGGGTATCTAATTTTAAATCATATCATTTCTTAAGGTATGGACAAGTAGCATGATTGCATCATCTCCTCTGCCATTGAATGTTATCATAGCATAAACTAGAATCTCAAATAAATCTACCTTCTTAAAATAATAATCACTAGAATAGAAATTGTATTCACACTTTTATGTTGACACAGTCAAATCAAGCACATTCATAAATTTCAAGTATTTTTTTAATTTATTACTATCCATTTTTAAAATGATGTCATAGCAAATAAAGTCATTTTTCTCTTATAAAGTAAGTTTTTATCAGATGAATCCATCTACCGATATTCATCAAAAAAATAGGGTGTATTTTATTAAGCATGTATATTTTGAAATGAAACTGACAGAGAAGTCAATTTCCATTCACACAATCAACCAAAAATGTATCTGTAGAGAAACATCAATCATACAAATTTCAACACAGTAGAATTATAAATTAATTTGATTGTTTGAAAATTTGAAAAATACTTTTTTCGTGCACATAGTAGGTAGGTAGAAGAATTGCTGCCTTTCATATTCCCAAACTAAACCTCTTAACAAAGAGCACAATAAAAATGAATTAAGATAATATTTACATTGCAAACTTTAGAAACGCATAAACTGCCTGTGCAGATAATCCTATTTAAGACTACTAGCAAACACAGTTAAATAACACTGCATTTTACTAATTTCTTTTTCAACATGAATAAACAGATATGGGGTTTCTATTAATACACAAAGATAAAATAATGAAAATCTCATTGTAAGACTCTCGATCAACAAACTAATTTAAAGTTGAAAACTTTCACATTGTACAAAATTCAACATGCGCATTTCAAAGGCATTATTATGCAGTATAACCTACACATTGAAAGTCCTCCTTTTCAAGGATAGGCTTCCTTTAATTAATACATTTCCAAATCCTAACACTTCAATCAGTGAAAATCCTCTAAAACCTTCTTTATCATACTAACAATCATGAATTTACCACACAAAGATCTCCAGAAGTAACAGGATTTTCCGGTTGCTTCATTGAAATTTTACAACCAACCCAAACGTATCTCCGGCGATTCCACACCTGGGAGTGCTTTTGCCAGCCCTGAGATTAAAGACAATATTGACACTCCAAAGAAAAGGTCAAAATCAAGAGTACCCGTTGTGCATGTGGAGCTGGTTGTGATTTAGAGAGACGTTCAGAAATAGCTGTTGATCAGAGGTGAAGGCTTCCTGCGAAATCAGAACAGACGAAAGAGTATTACAATGATAACAAACTAAAATGCACAATTAAAGATCTTGTTTTCATGTTTGTTCGCAAACCCATTTCCGTTCGTCTATTCGTGTTCCAAACAGTTCATTCCTACGACTGGCCAAGAACAGCAATTAGAAAGTAAGCACATTGATAGAGAAATTCGTCAACTAATCAACATGGTGAAGTTTTGAAACCTTCATTATAGCGTCTCCATTAGCAAGCTGAGCACTGCTACCTTGAGTGTGATGGTCCTTGTGATACCCGTTCTGTGTGCTGCTTGTTTTAGCTGCCGCGAGCTCCCGCATGATCACTCCCTCTTCCAAATCAGGACTATTGTGCCAATAGCTTCCTAAGAATGTCTTCGCCCCATCAAGGCTAGGAAAATAAGGAGGCTCAAAATAGAATTGGGAGAGAGCTTCTGCAGCAGAAATCTCTGTCTGCACGTCAACCTTGTACTCTCCACTACCCATTACTGCTACAACTAGCTGTTGATATGAGAAGTAAAATTGTCGCACTGAGACTTCAACAGCTTGAAAAGACTGAAGTAAATGAATCACTCCTGAACGTGATGGCGTCCCAGATGTTTCCATTCCGTGTGTTTGAAATAGCCCCATGATAGCCTCTTGCAGCCGCGGGCCTCCTTTAGGATCAGCCTCCACACCCACTGCCTTTGGCACCAGGTGCCGCAGCTCTTTGCAGGCTCGGGTGACTTCCCGCAACATTGTAGACCGAAGACAATACGCACCTGCAGGAAGCATTGACCACCAAAAACAGTCAATTAATTACTCGAATTCAAGAGTTCGAAGATGGAATCCCCCCACAATCGTCATGCTCATCAGAAGGACGGCGTGGAACTTGAATGAGGTCAAATATATTGGAGCACCAACGGACCTCCCCCAATGTGTTCGAATCCGTGGTTGATTCCTACTTGAGGCTTTGTGTTAATAGCAAGCTCATGTTTGAGCCGCATGAAGTCATCAGGATCCATGACTTGAAGAAGATCCATGGTGGCCAGTAAAAGCTTCCAAACCTTCTCCACAATCCAGCACTTTCTAGCAGCGCCTTCAGAGTCACCAGCTTTCACTCGCTCCTCTATTGCTTTCAGCAAACCCTGCGCCACCATGAGCCATGACTCCAAAATCTGATGCACTGTGGACAATGTATGGTCCTCGGGATGCCCTGGCGCAGCTTGACGACAAGCAAAGACCTGAACACCGTAATGAAATTAGAGTTGCCACCATGATGGTTGTAAAGGTAGAAGAAACGAAGCGATGAGGGTTGAATCTGCCGCGGCACCTGTAAGGGAGTGCAGATCCGGTCGTATTCGAGTAGTGGTTTGCCAGCAAGGTTAGGCTCGCCAAGACCAAGAGTAAATGGCGCACGCAGCATGTGACATTCAATAGCGTACAGCAACCTCATTCTTAAGTTCTGTGCACCCTTCCAGTTGGGCCATTTGGAAAGAAGGCTGTCCTGACTGGTGCGACTAACAGAGGATCTCGCACCCGCTGTTTGCCATGCTGATGGCATAGAGCCTGCTGCTGTGGTGGGGGCTTTCTTGTCACCCTCAACAAGGTGAGAGACAAGCTCAATCTCCATGATAGCCAGAGACTCTAGCTTGCGGAGCCACTCATCTCGAGCAATGTAAGGACGAGCGTCTTGCAGCATACTAGATGTCAACCGGAACACCATCTCCAACGAATGGAGGGCCGGCTTGACGATGCCCTCCATGGACCAGTTCGGACAGAGAGGTGTGTGCCATAGCCAGCGAAGCTCAGGAAGATGAAGGTAAAGCTCATACGATTCCACTTCATCTGGGGAGGGTTGCACCAGTGCCTCGATGTCGCAGTTGGCGAGAGAAATTTCAACGGGTGTTCCAGGAAAGAGCGCGCAATGGACACCTCCACAATTCCGTGCGCTCAGTTTGTAAGGATCTACATCCCGGTAGCCTTCCCTTGATTTCCGAGGATCTGCTTCCTGGTTGCTTTCCATGATTGAACACTATTCAGCCGAACTCCACAGCGTATACTGAAAGATGAGTCACAACCGATGGGCTGCGGAATTTGGCTTGGAAACTGAAGCAACGCAAACCGGTAGTCCTATGTTCTTTTATCTCCCGCAGACTTGGTTGACGAAGCAAACTCCGGCGACTACAATTTTACTTATAAATCTTCCATGAGGGGTTTTGGAGGACCAAGACGAAGAACATCGTGTGCAATGGATGCGTCTCTACACTCGACGAGAAAATGCTACGGTGAAGGTTTTGAAGGTGAGAAAACATATCTTTCTGCGTTCCCCTAGGCAATGTCCTGCTTAAAATCTTTAAACACCTTTAAGAAAAGGCTTTACGAAACCTCGGCAGAAAATGCTGAAATGTTATAAGGTACGCTGAATCACCTGCCCTGTTGCATAGAATTTATGATACGCAAAGGATATCCACGAGGCCAAAGTCGCAAAGTCGCACACTTCTGTCAGCTACCAGACGCCTCTTAGATACTTAGAATGGTCAATTTGAAATGAATCCTTCGATGACAATACCCTCCTTACACAATGGCTGCAATCCCTTGTGACACGCTCCTAACGATTGCAGGCATGGGACTCCTTACGATGTGTCCGATGCGTGTGAACTCATTGTTGGCTCTGATCCCCCCTGGAGAGAAGCTTTACATTTCATCCTCACTCATTTCGCAAATCAATAATCCGCTCAACCTTAGTTGATGGTGATGATACAGGCTCCAGAAACGAGCGCCGCTGCAACAGAAAGGAAACTCCCTCAGGAACATTAGCCTGCTCTGTGTCTTCCTCTTTCTCTCAGCTGTATCTACCACCAATTTTCTGCATCAACGATCAATAACTTCAGAGAGCTTCCACGTTGAAGAGCTAGGTTTCGAGTGCAAAGCATTTCTCTTAAACTCAACTTCTCAGATCAAGGATCCTCAAACGATTAAATCATAAATTGAGAACCTTGATAAGCTAACAAATGTTTCCGATTTCCTACGTCGTCACAAGGATGATGAGAGAGCCTTCATGTGTAAAAACCCATTCGTGAGCAGATTAGCAATCATACATAAATACATGCAATAACATACAACACAATACATGTCAGAGCACTGCTTGCTCTGACCATTACGACTAGAAGCGTATTTTCACGATATATCACCCGCTTCGAACAACCTCAACGTTAAAGTCCCACAGCTAGGTTTAGTGCAAGCGTCAATATCTTTCAAATCTTGTCAAAGTCATTGAATTCTTGAGGTTAAAAAAAAACAATCGTAATACCTTGCCCGAAACATGTCAAGCACAAAGGCAACGCTGGGATGAATAAGCCCAGTCCCACCAAACATTCTCTTCCAAATTGTCAATCATAAAACAATCAGAGCCTCCTCAAAGTTGAAGATGCAAGAACAACAACAACAACAACAGCCAGCTAGCAAACACACCCACACACCAGCTCCCCGACACCATGCACCATTACCAGCAAAAACAAAACGCAAGACATCGAATTCCACCAGTGACCGAACCCAACAAGTCACTGCTGCTGCTCTCCAATCAGGGAAACACAACCCACTACAAAAGCTGCTATCTCACCTCCGCCCAGCAACAGCAACCACGCAGATGCAGCAGGGCGACGGCTCCCGAGAATTTCCAAAGACGGAGCAAGTATGCAATCAGACCTAAACCAACCCACGTCCAAAAACCAGGAGCAAGCGCGATTCAAAGAGAGTGGGTTGCTTATGGGCTTAAGCGAGGGCAACACAGAGACAGAGACAAAGACGGGGAGAGATGCGAGCCGCGCGATCCAGCAATCCAACGTCCGCAACAACACACAACAACAATCAGCCCTCAGAAAACTGTGGAGAAGGCAGCGTGGACATTGAAAGGAGATAGTGCGACGAGCGAACTGGAACGACGACGACGCAGAGGTGGCACTAGAGAATCGTCGTCGCATGACTCCGCAGATAACTGATCCTTACTCGTCCCCGTCCCTGCAGCTGATTGGCATCCTACTCAAAAACGTTAGATCTTCTCAGAAACGTGCCGATTGCCCATATCTCCCACTCTTCTTCCTTTCCTTCGCCGCCTTTCTTTTCCTTCCTTCCTTTCTATTTCCATCCCTGATTTTTCCCCTTCTTTCTATTCCCATCACGCACAGTTGTTTGCACCACATTGCTCGCTCTCTTCTTCTTCTTCTTCTTCTGCTTATCTTGTGCTCCTTCCCCTTTCCAAATCTTCCCGTTCGGTTCGCTTCCTTATGCATGGTGGCACCTTCCCTTCAACAACAACAACACCTGTTGCAAATTATTTGGAAGACAGTTATGAACTGCGTGATTTTACAGCACTCTTCCAAGCACTTCCTGACGGAGAAGATATTTTAGTGTTTTAAGTTGCAGTAGGAATACTAGTTTTGAATGTGAAGGTTCGGTTGTGTTGACTGTGTTTGTGTAATAATAAGAATGGATTTTATGACTTTTTCTTTTACATTTTTATTCTTTTAATAAAAGGGTATTTTTTACAAATGTCACTAATTTGAGAGGATGAGGTTGCGTGGGCTTGTTTGGATGTGTTCGCCGAGTGGGATGATGGCAAGCCGTCCGGGATTCTGCGCCTCTGGACCCATGATAGGGAGTGCCTTCCCAGCACACACCCTTATCCATCATGCCATGCCCCGTCAGCACGGGTGGTTCTGTCCTGGATCTTTCCACCTCAGCATTCGCGCCATTGCCAGTCATCGTCTACTATTCTGATGTGGCGACGATCCACACGTCCACGTGTCATTTGTACTAGGATGGGCCTATGGGTGTCCACGTTGGCGGATAGGGAAGACTGGACTTTGCCTGGCGAGAAGTCTTCTTCTTTGAATAATAATAATAATAATAATCATATTTTTTAACAAATGCTGCTTGGCATATGGTCTTCTTTTAATAAATGAGTGTTCATATTGATGGAAATGTTGAAGAAATAGGCAGCAACATGTTTTACAACAATTTTTTTTTACATTTATTGAAATAATTATGTCAAAATGATGACCTGACTTTTATTTTATATGTATATATAGAGAGATGTTAAAGCCACATCCCAATTTTGTTAAATCCACACCCCCTTGCCATCTCATAATCCATTCTATATCCGTTCCTTGTCCCTAACCCCATTTCTAGCCCTTGTCCCACATCCCCCCCTCCCCCATCTTTAGTATGGATTTCACAAGTTCAACCATTTTCAATATAATTTAAATTTTGAATTATTGAGATTAAGTTCCTTATAATGTTGTTGTTGTTGTTGTTTTGTTTTGTTTTTTTTTTCCATCCGACAAGATAACATGTTGTAAGTAATCTTATTTTTTTAATAATATTATTAATTATGTAATAATTATTATTAAACTATTGTATCAAAGTACCATACTTTTAGTGGATTTTATGAAAAATTAAATAAGTTTCAAAGATGATATTTGAAATAAATTTGTTTCACATACAATATGTAAAAGAAGATATTTAATATTATGTTTGATTTATGAAGATTAAAGACTTGAGTATCAATTATTATTCATATAATGAAATAAATTATGAATTTTAGCTTCATTTAGTTATTGTAGATTTATAATTTAATTATTTTTGTAAAAAAATACAAAAATATATCAATTTATTTACATACAACATATGTTATTTGAGAATATCATGAGTTTCTGTCACGAACATACATATTTATCCTGATAATTATCTAGATAGTAAGAATAGGTAGAAGTAAGTCAAAGTAGATAAATATGATAATATCTTGTGGAAAGCTTCCTAAAAGCTTTATAAATGCTGCTTTGCCTTTATACATGTCTATAGGTGATTGGTAGGTTCAAAACTTGGCTAACAAGGAAGCCACATGTTGACATGTTGACCACTTGTAGTACAAGTTGGACATATGGCATACACCTAAAAAACTTACTTTGCAAATTAGATATGTGTTTTGCAAGTTGGACGCATATTAGAGATCCTATAGCCTGTGCCACATAGTTCTTAGTTAAGTAGTATATATAGAGGCAAAAGTAAGACCTTCTTCACTCTTGTCAACTCCTTTCTTGCTTTTAGTTTGATTTCAAGAGTCTTATATTTTCTAGTCTTTGGCAATAGCCATTCCAATTCTTCCTTAAATATACATACTTTCTTCTATTTTGTCACTTTCTTTTTGATACAAATTTCACGAGTTTATGTACCTTCTTTCACTTTGTGTCTTTGATCGATTGACAAGAGTACACATACAATATCAAAGCTTTGTCCTTTCTTGATAAGACAGAAGCGTATTAGAAGTTGCAGATTACCCTCTTCTAAACTGATATTATTTCTAGAATTTTTTTTTCTTGATTCTTAAGTATTGTATTCTATGAGAATAGACACTTTTCTTTTTTATTGTGCTAGCATGGCAAAGCTTGCTGAAATGAAGAGTGCAATAGCTCAAATGCAAGAGCAAATGAAAGAATTAATGCTTGCAATGCATCAACTTAGTCTACTACCACAAAGAGCAACAAGATCATCAGGCAATGAAGATATAGAGATGATTGGAGTTGCTTCAAGATTTATACCAAGCCATATTACTACTCTCACAATGGAACATTGCTCAAGTTTCAAAGAACCAAAAATTAGATTACTTGAGAAGTTTGATGGCACAAGATCTAAGTTTCAAGGATTCATCAATCAAGCACAATTGGTGCTTGAACTACAACCTCAAAGTTATCCAACTCAAAGATCACAAGTGAGGTTTATTGAAACACTACTTTTAGATTCTGCTTTATCATGGTATTTATCATTTTTTGAACAACAAGATTCAATATTGTATAATTTGGAAGCATTCTTAATAGAGTTTTGATCTATGTATAGAGAACATGATGCAATCCGTGTTGCAACCAACAAGATTTGTGTCTTGTACAAGATAATAGATTAGTGGTATTATATGCTTTACAATTTTGACAATTAGCAATAGATATCAAGTAGGATGATGCATCACTCATGAGCCAATTTTTTTACGAATTATAATATGAAGTAAGAAATTGATGCTCAATTTACTTGATCATCAGACATTGAATTAAGCAATTGACTTTGCTATGAAAATGTGATAATCGACTTTTTGATTTTTGATTTGAGAATTGCACAAAGAAACCTCAACGTTATTATAATTTAATAATGATACCAATGACTTCTCAATCTAAACATTTGGAAGTAGTAGACATGCCAATTGATGCAGTACGTTTTAAAACTCTTATCAAACAAGAAAAGATTCATCATCGACAAAAAAGACTATGTTTATATTGTGGAGAAGCTAAGTACATTGCTCAATATTGTCCAAAGAAATGATGCAACTACAAAATGAGGAGTACTGCTATCAAAGATGAAAACTTGTTGAAAAATAAATTTATCCAACTACAATAGGGATCATTGTCATGTTGTAACATGACTATATGGTGAAAGGTGATAATATGGATCTTATTATAGAAGAGCCAAGTTAAAAGAAAAGGTAGAAAAATATGGATAAAAGATAGGAAGGTATTAAAACTTTTAGTAGTAATGCTGCTTTTTTAGAAAAAATAACTTCTACTTACTTTGTAGGGCCAAAAATAAGGCAAAATAAGGTAGATTGGAAAAATAAATGATATAGACATCTTTGAGAGGAAGTTAAGAGTAAATTCTATTAAAAATTACTTAAAAAAAACTAGATGTTAATACCCGGAGAGGGCCGGTTATGAACTAGGGTCGAAATCAGACCCTGAGGCACAAAACCGAGTCTTGATGACGACTCCAGGACTCTTTGGCAAATCGGCGAGTGGAGTTTGATAGAAGATTGAATAATGTTTCTATACGCATTGATTTTGGGTGATTTGGAGATGTTATGACTTTGTAAGAGCTTTGCAAAGTCAAGGTTTGTTTCGGATGACTTGAATATTATGAAATAAAATAGGATTTACATTTTGGATGATTTCAAGAGTTTAATAATAGATCTACGGGTGAAATTTTGTGGATTTATGGTTTTAGTTGTGTTCAACATGTTTTGGAAATTTGAGCTTGATCTAACGGTTGAATTGAGTAATATTGAGGTTTAAGTGGGTCAAGGTCTCAGAAAGTAGAATTTTAAGTCTAGTAGGAGTTTTTAAGATTTCTTGCAATCTATTGATTGGATTGGAGTAAAACTTATGTGAGAGAATATTAGACTTCTTTTTATATGCTTATGAAAATTTTGAAATCAATTGAACGGTGCAAAGGAGCGATATTGGCTCTAGAAGATTGGCATTAAGATTGGAGAAGGAGGCTGGCCAATATCCAAGCACATTTTTGAGGTTATCATCAATTTGGTAGCTCCGATCCTTTTCAATTTTTTAGTGCTTGTTTTTAACTTAATTATTTAGAAGTGTGAAAAATTTAAGTTAAGATCGACGGTTTATTCATTATTTATTGAGGTTTAAATCTGTTATAGGAATTATTGGGGTTTGGAGTTTAGATTAGGGTTTGGTTTAGGATTTAGGATTTGGTTTTGGATTTGGTTAGGAATTGGTTTGAAGTTTAGAATTTGGTTAGGGATTGGTTTAAGGTTTAGGTTTTGATTAAGGT